CAGTGGTTGTATATCAAGCAGGGACACGTGACGTTTGTGTGCATTTTACTTTGTGATTTCACCGGAACGAATAGAGATTTCTCCGCAACGGATTAAAACGTGCATCCGTGTGAAGACTGTGCGCGGCAGCGCCAGCCACAAGAGAACACTTTATCAGCACCACTGTATCAGCACCACTGATCGCAGTCAACGAGCACTTTGATCACTTGATTTCAAAACCAATACATTTCAGCGTGCTAGATTGCCTCTTATTTAATAAATGAATGCTCTGCTATAGTTAACTGGTGATGTTTTATTTATTTGTATTTGTATTGGTAGATCCGAGCCGCGAGATGTTTAAAAGTGGTGGGGACAATATCGACCCTGGCAAAAAGTGGTGGGGAAATTCACAAGTAATAATAATTAATAATAATAATAATAATAATAAAAGTTGTTTGGTTTTTTTGCGCCAAAATATTTCTCAAACGGCAAATGGTGTTCAAAATACTTAGTTTTGAGTTTTATATTGTGTAGGTCTCCTGCTAACTGGTTAACTCAAATACTTCTGCTGATCAGCTGTGGGACACTATTACCTAAATCTGTGTCTATTAATGCAGATTGTCTGTCATTCTTACTAATAGAGGGTATGCGCATGACGTCACCGTCGGCCGGAGTGAATACGGTCACGCCCACAAGTGGCAAAAAGACTGAGCGGCAGCATTTGTTTTCAGCGTGAATGCCGTGAAAATCTCACAAAACACATCTAAAACGGGAAAGAGCTTTGCGATTGACTGTACAACTAGATTTGAGCAGAAATCTGAGGTACTGTATATTTTTACAGACTGCAAAAAGCTACAGAACAGACTATATTCTGCATAATTGGATGTTTTTAAATAAACACTGACAAAAAACTATACAAGTTTTAGGGCTGGACGATATGATGATATACAGTATAACATTAATGTAAGTGATCACTCGGATTTAGACCTATCTATATTGTATTTATATAAAACGTTTACAGGCAAATTGTCTTCATTTATTTCCCCGGCGTCGAAATCAGGCACATATAAATGTCAGGAAACACGATTCCTGGCTGCATGTCAATATCCATGGATCACTGGATCTTTGATAAGTTGTAAGGAACACTATATCGAGTCCAACTTTTAGTTTAAACTGATAATAGTTTGTTTTACTCGCGTTAACGCAGTTTCCCCTATTAACTCCAGTCACGCAGCAGCTCTTCTGCCACTCAGTCCCGCTGAGGGGGGCGTGTTCCGGCGGGGGAGTGACGTTAATGCATTCCCTCTATATGAGTAAAGATTAAACATGGAGCAAGATGTGTTTTTACCAACATCACGCTAGAGCTCGGCTAATGCACTGTTATTGATACAGTTTTCACATGTTCACAGCAATAAATTAGAAAAATTGTGAATAAATAAGTAAAATAATCAGTTTGTTTGATGGACATGCAATTGTTAATGCTGATGGTGAGGAATTAACGTACAGTTGCAACATCTCATAAACTGAGTAGGCCTAGTGTATCACTGAGAAACATCCTGCTCGAGTTGTCCTTGCGATGGAGGTTCGGGTTGAATAACTAGTTCTTCCCGTGTTTCATTATTGGACTCGCGCTCGGATTGATATGGTAAAATCGTTCGTTACTGTGTTTAGTTTATGGTGTATGAAGCCTCAGGACCTATTTTTTTACAGTCTATGCAGGACACGCAGAGCTGACGTTTTTGTTTTCGGTGCGCGCGCTGTACACGGTAAACCAATCACAACAGACTGAGCTGTCTGGCCAATCAGAGCAGAGCAGCTCGGGGAAAGGAGGGATTTAGAGAGATTGATTCTTCTGACGAGTCGTTTAAGAATCATTGAAAATGTGGTGATGTGGAAATGTATATTAGAGAAAATTAAACAGTTTTTTGACCATTGATGCATGTAAACCTGTTGTAGGAGACTCCAAAACAACATTAGGAAACTTTAAAATAGCATAATAATCCAATCCAATCCAACTTTATTTGTAAAGCACATTATACAACCAGGTTGACCAAAGTGCTGGACATTGACATGATCTCGGACAGATTATAAACACATGAGTAACAAAAACAAACATTTAAAACAAGGGACAAACTAAAAAATAAAAATGCAGAATACAACTCTCAATCAGGTTTAAAGGCCAATGAATAAAAGTGAGTTTTAAGTCGTGATTTAAAAATGTGAAGGCTGGGGGCAAATCATTCCACAGCCTTGGTGCCACGACTGAAAATGCTCGATCTCCCCTATTTTTAAGCCGCGTCCTAGGGACAACAAAGAGCAGCTGGTCAGCAGACCTCAATGACCTCAGAGGAGCGTGCAGCTTCAGTAGTTCAGAGATATAAGCTGGGGCTTGACCATAAAGAGATTTAAAAACAAACAACAGAATCTTAAAATGTATTCTAAAGCAAACCGGTAGCCAATGAAGGGAGGCAAGAACAAGCGTAATGTGATCTCGGGCACTTTAAATATTAAAGGCAAAATGACTCCACATTAACATTGATATTCTAAGATGTTACATTAAAAACACTGTTTGCAAGAAAAAAAGGGCTGATCTAGGAGGAGATTCTGTTTGTTGTTGTTGTTGTGTAAAAAAAATCTAGTCACGAAGTTTTTAGAACACTTTACTGCAAAATATTAATAGAAAACAATATATTTTGTAAGAAATTATAATTTACTGTATGAGAAAATAAAGCCTATTTTTATTTAAATATTAGACATTAATATTTTTTATAACATTATGTATGCATTGGCAAATTATTTTCATTACAATAAATCACATTTACCCCCTTTATCTCATTATTGTAATGTGAAAAAATACATTTGATACATATATTTTTTGCATGTAATAATGAGAATGTTGTTTTTATTTTATATATATATATATATATATATATATATATATATATATATATATATTATATATTTTGACATTATTGCATTATTTTGACAACATATACATATATATATACAGGTATATATATATATATATATATATATATACACACACACACACACACACACACACACACACACACACTGTTACGCAATCTACTTATTATGGCTTCAGTCCATCTTGAGGCAGTGCTGGTGTTTGGACCTCAATTTCCTTTGATCCAAGGCTTTTCAGGAAATTGTGTACATGGCAGCTGCACAAACCTCACCCGATTCTATATACAGCTCTTTTGAAATAAGAACAGCTTTTAAAAGGAATGAAAGCTTTCAAATTAATTCAGAAAGGTATATTAAACTGTTATTTATATTTTACAGCCACAAGCTTCAAAGACTTTGCTTATTCTCAGGCTAACTTTAACTGGACAATAACTTTATTCTAGAGCTGCTGTAAAGCCAAAACAATCTGTGTTACTTTTCATTTCCTATTATCACCGTGAAGCTGCTTTGAAACAATCTATATTGTTAAAAGTGCTATATAAATGAAGGTGGCTATACAGAAAAACATTCCCACTGTTGAGGTTTGAGCAATCCCATTCATGAAGCAGCATAAGCTTCAAGTGCACAACAATCGGTTCTTAATTTATTTGATATACTCGAGTTGGCCAAAGTGCTCTCCATTAAAAAACATTTCAACAGCATAAATAACAAAGAGCCAAAAACATGAAAAACACCAAACCAAAAATACATTAAAATACAAGACAACAGTAAAACAAGATGTAATCAACTGCTAACTTTGCCATATGTCTGGGCAAGTAAATGCACCCTCAGACGTGATTTAAAATGACCCAATGTAGTTCAGCATCTAATATCCTAAGGCAGGTTATTCCAGAGGCGGGGTGCAGCAACAGAGAAGGCACAATCCCCTTTGGACTTTAGATGAGATTTGGGGATTTAAACATATTAAAACCTTAAACTGCACTGACCTGCTACTTGGTCCACTTCCAGTCAAAATCCTAGTTGCTGCATTTTGTCAGTTCAACAGAACAAGAGGAAGCCGTAGATACAATGAATTACAGTAGTCCAAACTTGAACGTATAAAAGCCTGTATAACCTGCTTCAAATCAAGACAAAAAGGGTTTTATTTTTGCAATACGCCTTAAATGAAAGACACCAGACTTCACCACTGAGTTTACACGCTTATCAAATTTAAGCTCTGAATCAAAGATCACTCCCATATTCTTTGCTTGCTTATATGTACATTAGAGGCAGGAGGACCTAGACGATCAAGTATATACGTGGGTGACATAATGGAGCCGAACACTATAGCATTCTGTTTTAGCTTCATTAAGTTATAAAAAATTCTGTGCCATCCATAGTTTAATGTGCCTTCAACAGAACATACATTTGAGTGTCATCTGCATAACAATAATAAGCAACATTATATTTTCAACAAATAAGGCAGAGTGATAGCATGTACAAAGAAAACAATATGGGCCCCAGAATTGACCCCTGAGGAACCCCACAAGCACAAACTGCAGAATCAATGAAAATACTTGAGAATGAAAATCAATGAGAAGTTCTGTCCTTTAAATAAGAAGAAAACCATTTGAGGGCATTTCTTAGGATCCCTACCCACTGACTTAAACACTCTAAAAGAATTTCATATTCAACTGTATCAAATGCTGTCGTAAGATCAAGGAGAAGCGGAACAGCACACTTTCTAGCCAGAAATAAATCATTGTTTAATTTTTAAAAGAGTAGACTCTATACTGTGTACCTAAAAAAACAGACTGAAATTTATTAAAAATATAATATTTATTTATAAATTAAAGCTGCTGACGATACAGCTTTCTCCAAAATTTTAGATAAAAAAGCCAACTTTGAAATCGGGTGATAGTTACTAAAAACTCTAGGATCAAGGATCAAGTCTAGGCTTTTTAAGGAGAGGTATACAGTAGCATGCTTTAGACAAGATGGGACTATTCTATTTGCTAGAATACTATTTACGATACACAAAAATCGGCCCACAACATCCAGAACCTGGAGAAGATAACGAAAAGGAATGATATCTAATGAGCGAATAGTAGTAAATGCTGAATTATATCTGCAAGATGAGAAATAGATGTAGGACTATTTGTACAAATAGCATTGTAGTTGGTTGACTCCCTTATAGTGACTGTCTAACTCCAATTAAAACCAGTAGCTGCTCTACTCACCACATGCTGACAGGGTTACATGACACTTTCAAAGGGCAACAGTGTGTGTAATTCATTCACAACTGAACAGATATAGTTAGAGAGAATGTGAAGAACATATGAAATAATAAAAAGTCTATGTGAATTTTGAATAGAATATTTTTGTAATCAGTGTACAGTTTTTGTATAAATAAATAAAATAAATAAAAATAAATCTCCCTTTCTTCTGCTTTATCTTCCAAGAATCAAATTTAAGAAAATTAAAAGCAGGGTCCACAGAAATATTCTTCCCCTATGTGCAGACAGCTGAGGAACTATTACATGTCACAAAACCTGATGCACCTCTGTAAGTGAAGCTAAGACCTTTTCAGCTTGTTTAATCTACTCTCCAGATAGCGATTTTACCATCACGTTTTGCAGAGCCGCTGAGTATGTATCGGTCCTCTGCTGAGAACAGCGTTTGAACAATGTCTTCATGGGCCTCAAGCTCCTTCTCAACTTCCAGGCTCTCAGAGTCCAACACAAAGATCTTCCCCACAACCTTGCTGAGGCCTGACCCACCACTACAACCAACCCAGACCTAGAAAGAGGAGAAATGTTATTAGGTTTTATAAAGATCAACATCCAATGTGCTATAATGCTCTTATTTCATTGTGATATATCACTCACCAAACAAACAAAAAGACAAACTACTGTTTGAAAGTTTAGGGCTGGTAAGATTTTTTTTTAATGTTTTTAAAATTTAAGAAACTAAGTCTCTTATGCTCACCAAGGCTGCATTTATTTGTTAAAAAAAAAGTGATATTGTGGAATATTATAACACTAATAGGCTGATTTGGTGTCCTTAGCATTATTAATGTTGAAAATAATCCAAATTAATCATCTCTCAAGAAATCTTTAGACATATAAGAGGTCTTTGTACCATTAAAACATCCTACAAGTTTCATAGCTTAAAACGTCCAATGTGCTATAATGCTCTTATTTCATTGTGATATATCACTCACCAAACAAACAAAAAGACAAACTACTGTTTGAAAGTTTAGGGCTGGTAAGATTTTTTTTTAATGTTTTTAAAATTTAAGAAACTAAGTCTCTTATGCTCACCAAGGCTGCATTTATTTGTTAAAAAAAAGTGATATTGTGGAATATTATAACACTAATAGGCTGATTTGGTGTCCTTAGCATTATTAATGTTGAAAATAATCCAAATTAATCATCTCTCAAGAAATCTTTAGACATATAAGAGGTCTTTGTACCATTGAAACATCCTACAAGTTTCATAGCTTAAAACGTTCTGCTCAATATTAACAAAGCATTTATTTAATCTAGCTCCAAAAACTTCTCGTTTTGATATTGCGGGATCTGTGACGTCACACGGGCAAATACATTTGCAAATACCTGCCTCCAGAGCAAGACATCGATGAATACATCAACACACCATAGGCCACGCCACTTAACAGCTGACATTTGCCTACACTGGATGTGAGTGTTGCGATGCGTCAAAAGCAAATATTATAGAACCCATTATAATCACTGACAATGTCTACACTGGATACAGTATACAGATGCGCATTCAGTTTCTGACATACTCCACACACTTGAGTCTGTCGACAACAGGACAAATGGACAAGTGGAAGTGCGTTCGCTTTGACATGTCCAGTTTAAACAGCTCTTTTATGTAAAGTAAATTATTTCAAAATGCTTTGTTTGTAAATTAAGGTTTTATATGGATAATGTTGTCAAAACACACTCACGTTGACGTTGACACTGCATTGACATTAGTCAATCATAATAGTGGCTGTTTACTTAAAGGAGCCACCCCATAAAAAAGTTTTTTTTTTTCACACACACACACACACATATATATATATATATATATATATATATATATATATATATATATATATATATATATATATATATATATATATATATATATATATATATAAAATGTTTTTTTTGTGCAAAAAAACTTTATTAACATTATAAGTGATCCTCAAGGAACATATTCAAATAAAGTAATTTGATATTTTTTGGAAATTGCGAGGATTCTTTGATGAATAAAAAGTTATTTTGTAACATCAGAAATGTCTTTACTCTCACTTTTGATCAATTTAATGCATTCTTGCTGAATAAAAAAATTCACTTCCCTAGTGAAAAATATATGTACCAAAATGTAGTTGACATACATTTATTTTAAGCTAAGTATACTACCCATACATTTATATATTTATGTACTTAATATAAATATCCTACAATTGTACTTTTAGTATACTAAATTGATATACTTAAAGTCTGCTAAATTGGAATACCTAATTTTGTACTTAATGCGCTTTAGTTACCCGGAAGTATGATTGTAGTATATTTCGTATGAAATAAAAGTATTCTAAATACATTTTGGTATAGGTTTTTTTCACCAGGGTTTTTTCCACCAGGGTTTTTTCAAAAACAAAATCTTACTGACCCCAAACTTTTGACCAGTTGTGCCATGAGTAAATATATTATCATATTTAATTCAATTAATTTTAATTGCATTATAGAATAATTAATCTCTTTAAAGATTTTATATACAATTCCAGTAGGTATGAATATGAGCATGGAAAAGTCATGAGAAAGGTACCATCTACACCTTCAGACTGAGTACCTGCTTCTTTACTCTGATCATACAGGTGACCTCACTGCAATTGGGGAGTGTGACCCGTTTGGGTGGTTTGATGGGGTCAGTGGAGTCCCATATAATAAGCTCTGCTGAGTCTGTAAAACTTGTCCAGATCTGTCGTCTCTAAAAAAACAAAAACAAAAACAAGAGCCTAAGAACGTTGGTTACATCCAAGCACATTATAATTTTATGCCATTCACAGCATTTAGTGGCATGGCTGACCTCTCTGACGGTCTGTTTGTGCAAAAGCATGAAATGGCAAAGGAAAACTACTTCACACTAAAACAACAAAGCTGCAACACATTTAATACACAGAGACACCATAAACCCTGCTTTATTAGTATAATAGAATAATAATATAAGGTTTATAGCTTAAAACATTCATTCTTCTTTTCTTGATTAAATTAGATAAATCAATATATATATATATATATATATATATATATATATAATGCTATATGTGTTTTAACAGCATAAAAGTATATACATAAAAATAAATATCTGCAATTTTATTTCAGGAAGGATGATCATCATATTTGGATAAAGCAGATTCTGTGGTGACACAAACCTCCATAAGCAGTGCGACTCTGCTGAAGGCACTGGCAGTGGTCTTCATATTGTCTGGGAGGGAAATCTTACGAAGCAAAGCTCCATTCGGTCTCAGCTTCATGACACAATCTCTGGCACCTTCACAAACAATAAATAAAAGCTAAATTGAAATTGAATACGGTATATATTCAGATTAACCTCATTAATGTCAAGCTATCTGTTGCCTGATAATCTCTGAAAAAACTATGCCAGGTTTATTTCATGGCCATCTAAATGCTTTTGTAAAATATAATAAGTAAAAACTTTTTAGTGATTTTTGCAGCTTCTAGCTAACAACAGTGTTGGACATGTTGGACACTAGGCTGATGACAAACTTACCACACCATAAGGCGTCATTGTAAACTTGAATGGACTGCAGTCTGTCACAGGACAGATGAAACTGCTTCTTCACCTTCAGAGAGGGGACGTCCCAAACAATCACAGTGCCATCTACACTACAGGAATACACCTGCGCTTGGCTTGGAGAACACATAAACATTACATTTATTTATAGAGTAATTTCTATTCTCAACCACAGTTGTCAAATATACAGAACATATCACAAACAATGCTGCCGCCTGCAGGTGAGGTTACAGTTTAATTTAATTTTTAATTGTATTTTTGAGGTAATATTATCTATCTATCTATCTATCTATCTATCTATCTATCTATCTATCTATCTATCTATCTATCTATCTATCTATCTATCTATCTATCTATAATAAACTAAATGAATTATAATAATAATTATATAAGATAATTAAATTGTATTTATTTGTATATATATATATTAGGGGTGTAACGGTTCACAAAATTCACGGTTCGGTTCGATACGATACACTTGTGTCACGGTTCGGTTCGGTACGATTCGGTACGTTTCCGATACAGCAAAAAGAAAGAAATGCCAGAGAAATTTCCTTGATTTAATCTTTTTAATTATAGTTTTATTAAAACTAACATCATAAAGTATGATATTTTTTAACTTTGAGCAATGATGGAGCTATACTTGACTTTTCTTAGGAGCTTATAAAACAAAACAGCTCCTTGGACAAAATTAAATGTAATATTGTAGTAGTTATAAACAAAGGTTTATTTTAGTTCAGATTAACATTTGAGGGCAGCAATTGTATTCATAATGTCAAAATAAAACCGACGTGATGTTACTTGAAAGCATTATAGCCTACTATTCCTGCCAAACTTCCATGGTTACAGTTAGTAGTGTTACTACAGTAAACCCATGGTGAATGTTGCTGATCTGTGGACACTGGATAGTTCATTCATGGCACAATGTTTCTTCCTGGTTTCCACGTCAGCGCTGTTTGATCCGTTAATAACGGAGAAATGCGAATGTTTCTCACTAGATCTTGCAGCGATGTTATTACTTCAGTGGCGAATTCAAATGCTTTCTTTACTGGATTTGGCTGTGTAGTAACAGTGCTGATGATTAAGATCGGCTCGCGCTGTATTTGTCCAAACTGATAAACGGTCCTTCAACCACACAATAACGAGTGGTTTCGTTCCGCTTACATTACATTTGCCATTTGATGTTGGGCAATGTTGTGGTCACGCACATTATGAGCGCGCTTGCCACGCGTGACGCGCCTTCATTTGAAATAACGAAATTTTGGTCGGCAGGAAAAATGGTCCAACGAACCGTTCGGTTCAAAAATGCGTACCGAAAACCGAACCGAAAGCCTCGTACCGAACGGTTCAATACGAATACGTGTATCGTTACACCCCTAATATATATATATATATATATATATATATATATGTGTGTGTGTGTGTGTCTATTCATGGTTAATCGATTAATTATAACTATGCAAAACAAAATGTATTTTAATAAATTAAAATAAAATATATTGTTAAAATGCATATATTACTTAGTATTTATTTATATTTATTGTGTTTCTATTTATTCTATTTATCTACATATCTATAGATAATAAACAAAATGTATTACAATAAAATAATATATATATTATAAATTGTATTATAATACATTTTGTTTATTATCTGTAGATAATTAATTAATCACACACACATAGTTTATATATGTGTATATATTATTAATTATTATTATAATGATATTATAATGACATCATTATATTATATTATATAAAATGATATTATTATTCTATATTATCCGTTATAATAATATATCATAATAATATCATTTTATATAATATAATATAATATAAAGATGTCATTATAATATCATTATAATAATAATTAATAATATATACACATATATAAACTATGTGTAGGTGATATTAATTAATTATCTGCAGATAATAAACAAAATGTATTATAATACAATTTATAATATATTTTATTTTACGCAATGAATGAGGTTACATCCAATACTCACCTTAATCTGTTCTCAGGGCTCAGTTTCTCCAGGGCGAAGTCTGTGACCTCTCCATGGTGCTCCGTCAGCTGTTTATGACACAGCATACTTTGAGCATTGATTATGTAAATGACAGAGTCCTGAGAACCAATCCACACCTGCTCCTGGTCCAATCCCATCATGCAGTTCTGGGCACAAAAAAAAAAACTACTATGAGATTTATACTTTCTTTTTCTTTCACTCTTCCACAGATACATAAGCTACAGCCTTTACTGTCTATGGGTACAGCCAGGAGTTCTAGACAATGTAATACAAAGCTGCCGCAATTTTCCAATCCACAAGGTGGCATCACATACATTTTACTGTGGCAATAAGAAAAGTCTCAGAAAGCACTGTAACTATTAATAAACTGTCAACATGTAAAAACCCAATCTGTTACTTGAAGATCCCAATATAGAAAAACACATTTTCACTGAATGCAGAAAGTTTTTATCAAGGACATTTGATATTGCCGTCAATTACTCTTTAAGATATTAAATCAAAATTGATTAACACCATCTTACCAGTCGAGAATCTCCTAAATTAATGCAGTTTTGCATCAGGGACCAACTCACAGCATCGAACACAACCACTTTCCCACAGCTGAGAGCACACCAGAGCTTAGGGTTTCTGTCCACACCACTGGCGCAGAAACTTGACTGGCCTGGAAGGAGTTAAAAAGAGTAATTTAACATTAAACCTTCCACAAACAGTCACATAACATATCAAGTTACTGAAACAAAATATGTGCTACACATTCTAATTTAGGTGTTTACCAAAATCTCTCAATATATATATACTGTATATATGTATGTGTGTGTGTATTGCTTTGGATTCAGATTTTGGTAAACACCTAAATGAGAATGTGTAGCACATATTTTGTTTGAGTAACTTGATATGTTAAGTGACTGTTTGGGGAAGGTTTAATGTTAAATTATTGTTAAATCTGTAGATGAGTATGTGTATGTATAAATACACTCACCTAAAGGATTATTAGGAACACCTTACTAATACTGAGTTTGACCCCCTTTCGCCTTCAGAACTGCCTTAATTCTACGTGGCATTGATTCAACAAGGTGCTGAAAGCATTCTTTAGAAATGTTGGCCCATATTGATAGGATAGCATCTTGCAGTTGATGGAGATTTGTGGGATGCATATCCAGGGCACGAAGCTCCCGTTCCACCACATCCCAAAGATGCTCTATTGGGTTGAGATCTGGTGACTGTGGGGGCCATTTAGTACAGTGAACTCATTGTCATGTTCAAGAAACCAATTTGAAATGATTCGAGCTTTGTGACATGGTGCATTATCCTGCTGGAAGTAGCCATCAGAGGATGGGTACATGGTGGCCATAAAGGGATGGACATGGTCAGAAACAATGCTCATGTAGGCCGTGGCATTTAAACAATGCCCAATTGGCACTAAGGGGCCTAAAGTGTGCCAAGAAAACATCCCCCACACCATTACACCACCACTACCAGCCTGCACAGTGGTAACAAGGCATGATGGATCCATGTTCTCATTCTGTTTACGCCAAATTCTGACTCTACCATCTGAATGTCTCAACAGAAATCGAGACTCATCAGACCAGGCAACATTTTTCCAGTCTTCAACTGTCCAATTTTGGTGAGCTCTTGCAAATTGTAGCCTCTTTTTCCAATTTGTAGTGGAGATGAGTGGTACCCGGTGGGGTCTTCTGCTGTTGTAGCCCATCCGCCTCAAGGTTGTGCGTGTTTTGGCTTCACAAATGCTTTGCTGCATACCTCGGTTGTAACGAGTGGTTTTTCAGTCAAAGTTGCTCTTCTATCAGCTTGAATCAGTCGGCCCATTCTCCTCTGACCTCTAGCATCAACAAGGCATTTTCGCCCACAGGACTGCCGCATATTAGATGTTTTTCCCTTTTCACACCATTCTTTGTAAACCCTAGAAATGGTTGTGCGTGAAAATCCCAGTAACTGAGCAGATTGTGAAATACTTAGACCAGCCCGTCTGGCACCAACAACCATGCCATGCTCAAAATTGCTTAAATCACCTTTCTTTCCCATTCTGACATTCAGTTTGGAGTTCAGGAGATTGTCTTGACCAGGACCACACCCCTAAATGCATTGAAGCAACTGCCATGTGATTGGTTGATTAGATAATTGCATTAATGAGAAATTGAACAGGTGTTTCTAATAATCCTTTAGGTGAGTATATATTTATATATATATATATATATATATATATATATATATATATATATATATGGATATACATATTATACATAGGCTACATATATAAACAAAGTGCTATTCTGCTTGAGATCTACCAGGCATTGCTGCTTTGCTATATAATTATATTTAATGTGGTGCATCGATGACAAATTTTTATTCTGAAAGAATATATATAAAATTATGGCGAAATGTCATGGGAACAGGCTAGACAGGAAGAATCCAGAACATTAACGTATATTAAATAACTATTTCATGCTTGCATACCTGGAGTGTATAGCAAGACATTGACAGACTGAGGCTTCATCATGTTCTGGGATGGATTGATCTTGTGTTTCAGAGTCTCTGCGGTGGGTCTGGGAATGATCATGGGGACTGTGGGAATGAAGACAAAAGACTTAAATAAAGCTGTCCTGTCTTCATCATATAGATGTTCTTAGGTAGAGAATCAAACACATTATAAATGGAACTGCACCTTCTTGTCGTAGCTTTTCAAAATAGGCCAGTTTGGAGGCAGCATAAACGGCCTTCTGTGTCTGTAAACAGCGCACCACTGCATCCATAAGCAGGACGTTGGTCAGTGCCTGCTGTATATACTGGGGGTACTGATAACAGAAGAGATCAAGGATCACAAAATAAAGTACTTTAAATTGTGCGTCTGTGTTTTAAAACATGCAAAAAAGAGGAGGTAAAAGGGGAGGAACAGTTATCTCTTCAAATAAGGAAAGAGAAACAGAAACATGAAACCTTGATATCATAAAGCACATTGAACAATTTACAATTACACCCAGTGCAGGACGTGTGTGTGTGCATGTTTATCTAAATGGTTGGAAATGGAAATAAACTAGTAGGGTGTAGCAAAGCGATTGTGAAAATTATTTTAAATTTAAATTATTTTGACAGCTATAAATCATCCCTAAACACACCCTGCCCGTTACCATTAAAAATACTGAATGACTGCAAATCCCATTGGTAATTGTTTTCTATATTCTACGGGATAGATCTAAACCCTATAGTTTATAAAACATATAAATATATATATATATACACTCACCGGCCACTTTATTAGCTACACCTGTCCAACTGCTCGTTAACACTTCATTTTTTTAAGCAGCCAATCACATGGCGGCAACTCAGTGCATTTAGGCATGTAGACATGGTCAAGACAATCTCCTGCAGTTCAAACCGAGCATCAGTATGGGGAAGAAAGTTGATTTGAGTGACTTTGAACGTGGCATGATTGTTGGTGCCAGAAGGGCTGGTCTGAGTATTTCAGAAACTGCTAATCTACTGGGATTTTCACGCACAACCATCTCTAGGGTTTACAGAGAATGGTCCGAAAAAGAAAAAACATCCAGTGAGCGGCAGTTCTGTGGGCGGAAATGCCTTGTTGATGCCAAGGGTCAGAGGAGAATGGCCAGACTGGTTCGAGCTGATAGAAGGGCAACAGTGACTGAAATAACCACTCGTTACAACCGAGGTATGCAGCAAAGCATTTGTGAAGCCACAACACGCACAACCTTGAGGCGGATGGGCTACAACAGCAGAAGACTCCACCGGGTACCACTCATCTCCACTACAAATAGGAAAAAGAGGCTACAATTTGCAAGAGCTCACCAAAATTGAACAGTTGAAGACTGGAAAAATGTTGCCTGGTCTGATGAGTCTCGATTTCTGTTGAGACATTCAGATGTTAGAGTCAGAATTTGGCGTAAACAGAATGAGAACATGGAACCATCATGCCTTGTTACCACTGTGCAGGCTGGTGGTGGTGGTGTAATGGTGTGGGGGATGTTTTCTTGGCACACTTTAGGCCCCTTAGTGCCAATTGGGCATCGTTTAAATGCCACGGCCTACCTGAGCATTGTTTCTGACCATGTCCATCCCTTTATGGCCACCATGTACCCATCCTCTGATGGCTACTTCCACCATGTCACAAAGCTCTAATCATTTCAAATTGGTTTCTTGAACATGACAATGAGTTCACTGTACTAAAATGGCCTCCACAGTCACCAGATCTCAACCCAATAGAGCATCTTTGGGATGTGGTGGAACGGGAGATTCGCATCATGGATGTGCAGCCGACAAATCTGCGGCAACTGTGTGATGCCATCATGTCAATATGGACCAAACTCCCTGAGGAATGCTTCCAGCACCTTGTTGAATCTATGCCACGAAGAATTGAGGCAGTTCTGAAGGCAAAAGGGGGTCCAACCCGTTACTAGCATGGGGTACCTAATAAAGTGGCCGGTGAGTGTATATATATATATATATTTTTTTTTTTACAAAGATTTACATGACTCTACGACCAGTGTTGGGGAAGTTACTTAAAAAAAGTAGTGTAACTCCTTACTCGTTACTTCTTTAAAAAAGTAATCCGTTACTTTACTTAGTTACCCCATATGAAAAGTAACTTTTTACGTTACTCGTTACTTTTACGTTACTTTTATGTTGCTTCATTTTGGGCAGAACCCAATATCTGTTCCTAAATGTGTAGGCCTACATAAAGTTCTACTATGCATAATGCCATATATAATGCCATAAATGCATAATGCATTTATCAAAATTTTGAATATTTATGAAGAAATGCCCGTTAATGGATAGGCATATGTATGGGCGGCGCTAGGGAGGGGCTAGAAAGAAAGCAATTATATTCAGGCTGTATGGAAGTCCTGAACCGCATAGTGAAGAAAAAAAAAGAAAACTTATCTTATTATTTCGACATAATAAGGGGACATTCTAATCTGCATTAAGCCAAATTAAGCGTTCTTCTTATAATGGTTTTCAATGGGAGGAAAATGCTTAACGTGTAATTAAATGCATTCCGTTCATATTCTGGGCTCATCTGATTTTTTGTACATAGTATAGCCTACTTTATTATGATTTTATCATAATGATTAATAAATGCACGCACAATTATCCGTGAACTTGATAAATGTTGCAGATATGTTTTACTATGCACGTAAACAAATGACTTTCAACTTAGGCTATGTGTGCAAAATTCAGAATTAAAAGAATGTGCAGCAATTTGTACAAATAGAGAGTCTAGGCCTACTATATGTGTTGTAGCCATTAAATAAGCACATATAGTTTCATATTTGTTAAAATATTATAATGTTATTTTTTTTCATCTATGTTGATTATGAAAAGTGAACAGCATGAGTAAGATGCGCAATATATCGGGAGACGTTGAGTGGGTCAGACATGATTTTGACCACTTTCACGGTCAGTGCATCACGTGATCAACTGCTAAATTCAAACGTGCTTTCGCGCGTTGGCTGGCGCTGAGCCAGAGACGGACGCACTCAGTCCTGTCATATATCACAATTCACAACTATTGAGTGTTTTCAACCACATAATGTTTATTTTAGGTTTCAGACATTTAAATACACATAAGTACTAGCAAAACAATGATTTTGAGTTTGTAAAATACACATCGTTAACCTTATGCACTTTTAAATTAATAGTATACATACCATTTACATTTTTTAGTTAACGTTTTTTTAAAGTAAGTAATACTTTTATTCATCAAGGATGCATTAAATGGATGCGTGACAGACTTTGACATTGTTCTTTTGAACCTTATATGCACCAAAGTATCCTGAAACAAGTGTATTCAACATTGAAGAAATGTTTCTTCAGCACTAAATCAGAATGATTTCTGAAGGATCATGTGACACTGAAGACTAGAGTCATGATGCTGACAATTTAGCTTTGCCATCACAGGAAAAAATGCTTTTAAAATGTATTAAAATAGAAAATCTCTATTTTAAATTGTAGTAATATTTCACAATTTTTACTGATGCATTTTATCAGCGTAAGAGACTTCTATCAAAGACAGAAAATTTGTACCGCCCCAAAACTTTGAAACCTTTGAATGGATATTTAATTCTACTATTAAGTTGGTAAGGAAGGGTAAATGGTTCATTTTGATTTCACATTTTCTATAATATCTTCTCAGTCTTAGATATTTCACAGCACAGGTGAACTTTACCTTATGGTTGTCTGCCATCATTCTGCCAGCCCACATCTCCTTGATCATCAAGTTCCACAGTTCACTCTCAGATTTTAAATTAGCCTCGAATATATCTTTCCTCAGGCTGTTCTTGATCTTTAGAGATGGGATCCTTAAAAGCAGGAACGGAACAGTGGAGTTCTTCACCTCCTGGGTTCACAGGATTCATAAGGTTACCACAAACACTAACTTCTCAGTTTTAATAAAATATCACAGGTATGAACACTAACAAACCTCAATATCCCTAAACTTGGTGACCTCAACATATCCAGGTGTGCTTGTGGTCAACAGAAAGAGCCTCCTCTGGGTCATGGCAATTTTGCCAACACCATAACTGGTCTTCACAGAGCTGGACAGCTTGTACACACACTCATTGTTTTCCAGTTGTTCCAGTACCTCAGCAGGCAAGAGAACCTCCTGTGATACTGCCTCAGTCTCTTGCCAGATGGTGTAAAACACTCTGAACATCTCTGGATCAATCTGCTTCTGCCCACCTGAGAAAGCAGAGGGAGAAACTAGATCAGAACAAATATGTTTTATAACAACGTTTATTAAAAAAAAAAATCTAAATATATTTAAACAATAAGACACTACAAGTAAATGTGGAATATATATTTATGCTTTTTTTAAGTATCAGCAATATTTTATTGTTCAGTTTGAAAATGTATATTAATGTACATTAATTTATTTGCTATATTTAATGTTTGCTAAAATAAACTTTAAATGAGCATTAGAATATATATATTTATATATTAAATCCTATTTTACTGACCACTCCCAGCTGTGACAACAAGCTTGGACCCCCTTGTGGCCCCCCTAAATGTGGAGTGTGAAATTATTTTTTACAAAACTGCAGGGCTCTCAAGTGTCACTCATTTCGGTCTTTTGTCACGCACTCCCGCCACACATTGTATTTCTCACGCGGAAAAAACTATTTATAATATATTTAATATGCCGCAGCAGCGCCCAAAATTTCTCTGGCCGCAGCGCTCTCACTATGGAACCGACAGGAATCAAGCGCGTCTCCCCTGGAGTTCTTAGTCGAGCCTGCCACTTATCAGCCAATCAATTCAAAAAAGAAAGGGGCTACACAATAGCCAATCAGAAAATAGCACTATTGTATCTGGGTAAAATTTCACACAACAACCAATACAAAAAAAGGATATCCTGGAATTTTTCACGTGATTCTGCTACAACATCTTCCGAAAGTTTCGTTAACACACAGAGGAAACCACTGGAGCTCCGAGCATCACTTTGAACACAGAGTAAGTCATGATTTCCTGTTTTAATGTTACAACAAATTCACAACTTGTTTGACACAAACAATGACAACTTGACTGCTGTTAAAAAATGTTTCTGTCACGGCGCGCACACAAAAGGTTAGGATCCAAGTGCAGTATTTATTTGGGGCAATCCAAAAACGTAGTCAGCCAGGCAAAGGTTCAAAATCCATACAAAGCAGTCAAAAACAAGACACAAAACAGGAACAGTACTCCGAAGTGCGAATCACATCAAACAAGGACTCCACGACAATCACAGAAACAAACAGGGTATATATACACACAGATACTAACAAGGTGAGTGGGAACAGCTGTGTACAATGAACAATAATGAGTACAGACAAAGGATTCTGGGAAGTGCAGTTCATGATGAGGTGGTGATGGTAAGGGGAAGAGACCTCTAGTGGAAACCCAGGGAACAACAACCAGACACTGTGACGGTTTCAGCCTGTTCACTGACAACTGCTCAGAACAAGTAGTCTACGCGGCGCCTAGTCATATTTTCGTTATCACACGATGACTGACATTGTCACATTATAAACATCTCTCTCTCTCCAAATAGGCTTAGTAATTTTATTAGCACTAAATTAAAGTGTATTGCATAGTAGATGTTATAGGTCACTTTTAAAATCATGTCATATTTTAAAATTATATCCTGGCCATGGATGCATTAATCAATGCATCTGTCTTTCAAAGATGTCAGGTAAAAAGCAATGATGCATCCTCTCATTCGCCCTGAGAGGAAAGCCCCCTAAAAAGGCCAGGTTAAAGGGTAATTTGCTGATCTTTTTTTGCAAAAAACCCCACAAAAATCGTAGTCTGGGTTTCCCCATACTGCCTTCCCGCAGCGCGATTTTATTCACAAGTCTCAACGAGAATTGGGTCTGGCGTTAGCCAGGCTACAAAAATCGTAGAATACAGTTAATGTGACTGATACTGAATATGTAATGCTAATGTAAAAAATATAATGGAAATGCAAATACAGTTAGGCCTATTGTGACTGATACTGAATATGTAATGCAAATGTAAAAATATAATGGTAATGCAAATACTGTTACTGTGACTGATACTGAATATGTAATGCAAATGTAAAAATATAATGGAATATAATGCAGATACATTGTTGAATGATTATAAAGATGGTATTTTGCCTGTTAATGCCTGCAGTGCAGAAAATGATATGACAACAATAAGGTCTAAATGTATCTGGCCCCTCTAACAGTACAACTGGCCCTAGCTTGCCCAAGTTAAAATGGTCTAGAACCGCTACTGTATACAACACAGCAACGCAAGTGGAAAGAGTGATCGCGTGAAAGAGTTTGAGAGCGTGTTGATTTTAAAATCATGATGCTGACATATATAAAGCATTACATGGCCTGGCTCCACATTATTAATCCGAGGTAATAACTCCCAAATCGAAGACTGCGCTCTTCACATTCCAATCTGTTCCTCAAACCCGCTTAAAATCTATGGGTGACAGGGCTTTTTCTTCGTATGCTCCTATTCTTTGGAACTCTCTTATGATTGAACTTTGGGAAGCTCAGACTTCTTGGAGTTTTAAAGACCAACTAAAGACGTATTTTTTTGACTCGTTGGTTTATATATCGTTTATCTTGTGTCCGGCACTTTAACAAGCTTCTTTTAAAGGCGCTATATAAAATAAAGTTTATTAATTTCCCAGGAAGTGACGAGTTTGTTCTCTTGAACACATGGGATGGAAACGGTGCTTTCTTCGCGAATGCTTTATGCAGTATTCTAATTTTGCGCATAAGTTAAATTCACACCTTTGGATGCAAACATAGCTAGTGACACACTGCAGCTCAGACTTACCAACAGTGAGAGCTTCAAATAATCTCTGTGCGGTGGCCACGTCCCACACAATACCCGATTCCTGAGTACATTTAACAAACTCCTCCAGCTCCATGTTGGCCTTGGGCAACTTGAACTTCTTCACGTGATAGTCTGATTCCATATGCTCGCTCTTTTCATCGTTCTTTACCTTAGAGATGAGCCGTTTGAGCTCAGGTCTCCTCTGTGCCTGGACTCTCTCCTCTACTTGCAGAGAGTCAACCAGCATCTTTACCAGCTCTCCTGGAAAAATCTCAATATCTGTTTTGTAAAGGTTCTGAAAGTCACTGAGGGCATCCAAGCGCTTAGAGTTCAGCATGTTGATGAGGCCGCGGAGGTAAAAGTATCTGGCTAGCAGGGACGAATCATCAGGTGGGGTAGCTGATATGGCTTTGTTCAACTGGTGAATAAGATCTCCGAAGTAATGGCGCACGTTGGGGTAGGTAAAGAGAGGAGGGAAATCTGGGAGCTGGAAGATCTTGACTGGTCTGACTGGAGTATTCAGAGCTTTTGGGATAAGGGATTTGCAAGAATGATCAGTAACATAAATATATTAGGATTATCTAAATGCCATTTTTATTACAAAACTGAGCCGTGCAGATGAATAACACTACTGAAGTTCTCTTACGCATTTCAGGAATGATTTTAGTTGGAGATATCTGTCTGAGGACACTCATCTTTTTCTCAATGTCCAGGTTAGCTAGACTTGTGCTTAGAAGTTTAGTCAGATCCTTTTCCTTTGAGGGTCTTTTCCATCTACTGAAGAAATGAATAACAAATTATATTTCAATGAAAAACATTAAATGTTAATATTTTGGAGAAATCTAAAAGATATGATATAATATATTATTATAAATAATAATAATAATAATTTATAGTAATTATATACATATTTCTTTGATAAAAAAACACAATAAAAAAACAAAAAATATTTTGAAATATTATTACAATTTAAAATAACTGTTTTCTATTTTAATGTATTTTAAAATGTATCTAACTGCCATTACTGCAGTCTTCAGTGTCACATTACCCTTTAGAAATATTTCTTATTATCATTGTTGAAAACAGTTGTGTTGCTTTATATTTTGTGATATGGGTGATACATTTTTACATGAATAGAACGTTATATATTTTATCGGAGAGATCACAGATTGTCTGACTTTGTTCAATTAATGTAATAAAAATGAATAATTTTTTCTAATAATTTTTTCATTAAAAAATTCAGATACAGAATTTTCCTTGTGAAATTTTAAGTGAGGAAATTTGTACAGAAAAGACAACACAGCTTCCACTTACTTTTGGTCCTCTTTCCTAATACTACCCTTCATTCGGGTAAATGTATCCATCTTTCCATTCAAACGTTCTTTCAAGAAGGAGTGGAAAATGTGTGTTTCCAAGACCTGTCATGAAGAAAAATCCATCAGTTGTACGGTTTGGTTCTATTTCTGAAGGTTGAAGACCAGATATATTATTAACTAGAAAGTTACTTTTTTATAAAATGGTTGGTCTTCTGGCTCCCTGGTCTTGAGAAACTCATCCGTGTTAAAAACTCTGTGTTCGTAACTTAGGTAATCACTGACATCTCTGGAAAAAGAAGCATTCATTTTTTTTCAATTAGACATATAGTGTGAAGAAGATTCAAATTCACTTAGCTCAAATTCAGTTCAGTTCATGATCTCACTGACCTAAACATGTTAACAATGAGCTCCAGGGTGATGTTTTGTATTTCCAAATTGAGTCCGTCTTGCCAACGTCTTCTCTGCATCCGAAACTCATTAAGATTTCCACAGGTGCTCTGATGAACCACTTCTAGGTCATAGTGTAATTGAAGACCTTTCCTTCTGCATGAAGACCCAGCAAAACAATTACAAACCTGGCAAATACATAACGGGACCTGGTCTCGCCAGCTGGGTCTGATAATGTGAGATTATCAATATATCAATGTATATTTTGATTACTCCAATAGAATAAAGACTCTTAGACTTAGTAAGACTGAATTTAATGGTTAAATGTTCTTACCGACTCTTGAAACTTTGAGCAGCTGCCTTTGGGGTGTCTGGGACGTCAACGCAATCACAGCGAGAGGAGGACACAGTTCCCTCATCAATATTGATCAGAATAAGGTCATCAGCTTCCTGACAAATGGACAGTGATTTCACAAATCACAAAAGTTGACAGGCATTTGATATAAGTAAAAACCACTGTCATGAATTTCTCAACATATAACGGTTGGCTAGGAACAGTTTTATAGAGATAAATAAATCAAATCATAAAAAATAAACCCAAAAAATCTAATTTGAACTAAAGAAGATTTAAATTTAGGCCAAATATGTATCTGGTATTTAGTAATACAATATGGTAATCCCAAAACTGCAAGGGAAAAACATATTCCTAAAATATAAAGACATTTATAAATTATTAATTATATTGTGTGATATTATATTGTGTGACATCATGCAACTGATTTTAAATTAAATAATTTGTCAGGGTGCCGGTCTGGGGTGCGTTTCCCAAAAGTCAGCTATGGTCGCAAGTTCCCTCATTATCCTCATAGTTCAATGAGTCTGTGTTTCCCGAAACCATAGTTCCAACGACAATTCGCAAACAGCATCGCAAAGTTGCATTGTTGGAACGACAGCTCTCGACCTGTGGTTAAAAGAAAAGTTTCTTGTTTGCAAAACAAGTTAGTTTCTTCGGTAACACTTTACTTGAAGGGGTGTCCATAAGACTGACATGACACCTTCATAATCATGAGATGACACATGTCATGAATATGAAGGCGGTTTTATGCATGTTTATGACAACTGTCATTAGGTGTCATTCGCTCAATTATGACATTTTTAATGCAAATATACGGAGCCCGGGAAGTCACCTGTGGGAAAAAAACAACAATCCGAGGCGACGGTTTTGCAATCCGTCCCCTCAGTTTATAAACTGTACTCACGAATTCTTAAACTGTTCCCTCGGTTTAACAATTCGTGCCCACGGATTAATAAACCGTACCCACGAGTTCCTAATCCGTGCTCTCAGATTTGTAAACCGTGCCCTCAGTTTTTGCAATCTGTACCCACAAATTCATAAACCGTGCCCACGCTTTCGCAATCCGTACTCACGCGTTTGTAATCCGTACTCACGGGTTTGTAATCCGTACTCACGGGTTTGTAATCCGTACTCACGGGTTTGTAATCCGTACTCACGGGTTTGTAATCCGTACTCACGGGTTTGTGGCTCGTCCCCCAGAGTGTGCCGCGTGATTCAACCAGGCCTCCTGTTTAGATGCGGGATGCATTGTTTTTAAAAGGACTTCACATACAATATATATATATATATATATATATAACACAAACACAAAGTTATAGGCCTATAAAAATAAAACATTCATAAATTGTTTTATGATTAACATATTCCTGTCTTAAGTGAACTCATTTAAAGTTATAAACGCAAATAATAGGCCTAATAATAATAATTAGGCTATTATTATTACATTTAGGCTACATATTTAGATATAAGACGCTTTTATCAAAAAAAGAAACAAAGCAATTCGTCAAATGTCAGTCATAATACAGGTTAGACAATAATACAGGGCTGAGATTATCATAAATAAACACAAGATTTTGACGCATATCCAAGTGTTTGTGCACAAAAAAATAAATACCATTGACTTTTTGCCTTTATTAAACATTTAAAATTTTCGCAAATTAATATGGAAAAAAAATAGATTTTACTTTCTAAAAACTATATTTTGCCCGCAGTGCTAAATGAGAAGAACATCTCTGGAACCATAAAGAGAGATGATTTATAGGATATTTATAGGCTAATCATAATAAATGTTTCTGAAAAATAACGATGGATTTTTATTGTTTAAATGAACAGTTTTCTAGTGACGGGCTAAACATATCTCCATCTCCGCTGTAAAGGATGCACCTTTAGAGAAATGCAGCTTTCGGATTGTAGGCTATAATCAGACGGTATTTGCTTTCGATTCGAATTTGTTTGTTTAAAAGTGGACATTTCAAGCTTTATATAGGCTTTTGTTTCAGTTCATTTATGAGACGCGCTCCGGAGATCATGAAGCGCCTGATTGTTTTATTTTATTTTACAAATACACAACGTTTTCTTGTTATTGTGAGTTTACACAAATAAAAGTAGTTGCAAATAATGTATTATGTATAATGTATTTTTTCTGTATGACCAGAAATGCTAGATTATTTTAAGTTGTTCCACTGTTGATAGGAACATGCAAGCGTTTGCGGCCGCGGCTCAGTGACATGCAGTGCGTGCTCCACACAAACACTTGGATATGCGTTAAAAACCTGTGTTTGTTTGTTATAATCTTAGCCAATTATTATTGTCTAAGACTGACATTTGACGAATTGCTTTGTTCTTTTTTTCTTTTTTTTTTTTTTTGTGGATAAAAGCGTCTTCTAAAAAGGCCTATGTAGCCTAAATGGATTTGATAGCTAGGCCTAATTATTATTTGCGTTTATTACTATGAATGAGTTCACCGAAGACAGTAATATGTTTAGCCTAACATAAAATAATTTTAAACTTATAACCAAATCTTTTACAGTTTTTGAACTGTGTGTTATTATTATTTTATTAATTTTTTTCGCTTATTATACTGAGCTTTTTCCTCTAAAAAATGGACTTTAAAGATAAAAGTAGCCTATAGGCTAAACTCATTTATAAATGCATTTTCTTTAGAAAATGCAAGAAATTATCCATTTAAAAAAAAGGGTTTTAAAAACAATGCAATGCATCCCGCGTCTAAACAGGAGGCCTGGTTGAATCACGCGGCACACTCTGGGGGACGAGCCACAAACCCGTGAGTACGGATTACAAACGCGTGAGTACGGATTGCGAAAGCGTGGGCACGGTTTATGAATTTGTGGGTACAGATTGCAAAAACTGAGGGCACGGTTTACAAATCTGAGAGCATTGATTAGGAACTCGTGGGTACGGTTTATTAATCCGTGGGCACGAATTGTTAAACCGAGGGAACAGTTTAAGAATTCGTGAGTACAGTTTATAAACTGAGGGGACGGATTGCAAAACCGTCGCCTCGGATTGTTTTTTTTTCCCCCACAGGTGACTTCCCGGGCTCCGTACAAATATGACTTTGTATGAGATGTCTTTGTTATGACTCCTTGACATAAACCAATACATCATAACCTGTCAGTGTCTTTGTCATGACAACTTGACATTACTAAGACAACACAACCTATCATAAATATGTCATAAACATGACATATCAGATTAATTATTAAACTTAAGAAACCACTTAGCTTTATTGGTTAACATTACATTAAACTGTCAGGTAGTTGGTTTTGACATTAGCTGTCATGAGGCCATTATAACATTTTAATGACCAATTCAATTTGTACCACTGTAGTTGAGGTCAAGAAAAATATTCATGACACAGTTATAATGGCCTCATGACAGCCTATGTAAAACCAACCATATGACAGTTTAATGTAATGTTAACCCATAAAGCTAAGTGGTTTCTTAAGTTTGATAATTAATCTGCTATGTCATGTTTATGACATATTTATGACAGGTTGTGGTGTCTTAGTAATGGCAAGTTGCCATGACAAAGACACTTACAGGTTATGATGTATTGGTTTATGTCAAGTTGTCATAACAAAGACATCTCAAACAATGTCATATTTGCATTAAAAATGTCATAATTGAGCGAATGACACCTAATGACAGTTGTCATAAACATGCATAAAACCTCCTTCATATTCATGATATGTGTCATGTCATGATTATGAAGGTGTCATGTCAGTCTTATGCACACCCCTTCAAGTAAAGTGTTACCGTTTCTTCTTGTAAAAGAAGTTATTACTCCACCACCTATGTGACATCCTTAACCAACGTGGTTGAACAACAAAATAGCGACAATACGGTTTTGAGAAACGGTCGTGACAAGCTAGTTGATTTCTTCAATGATGCATCATATTATGGTAGCAGCGAGTCATGTCGTTGTACAGGAAACGCACCTCTGATCAGCTCAAGGTTTGTTTGTCTTGTGTCTTGTGACACCTGGTGTTTGTGTTGTCATGCATTGCCCCTATGTTACCTTATCTCATTGAGCTCTCATCTGATTAGTTTAGTTTTTTTATTTTCCTCCCCTGCTCTCCTGAATGCTTTGGCTGCCAGATCCCATCCTTCCTGTTGCACCCTTCCTGTTCCCTTTTGGATCTTCCCTGTCCACCAGCCCCAAGATTCTAACTTATACCACCGCCAGGTCCCTGCTACCTCTACTCTCCAGGTTCCCTCTCTTTCCCTCCCCTGACATTGCCACTCTACATCCCCAGGTGTTCATCAGTGAGCTCACTTATCTTGTTGTCCTTGGACTGTACTCTTTTCTCCCCCAGTGTCGCTGTTTGGAACTGCTCTGGATTTCCCTTCTCCGATGCCTCATAGAAGTCCCTCGTACCTGGCTGGAATACTTCCTGTTCCCCCTTCTGACTCTGGCCTCTCTATTCCTCCTTTTGTGTTCCTGAATTTGTGTGGCTTTGATATTCAATAAATAAATTACTTATTCCCACAACTGTTTCCTCCTCTTTTACCATCCTGACTATCTATCGATCGGGCAGGGAAGATCCAAAGGGAGCAGGAAGGGTGCAACAGGAAGGACCGGATCCGGTGTTGTACCACATTCGAACGAATTATGTGACCCTAGTAGGTGCCATATTGAGCCTATCAGACCTACTCCTAATCCCAATCCTAATCCTAACTCTACCATCACTACAGCACCTACTAGGGTCACAGAATTCGCCACTACACCGGCAGCCAAAGCAGACAGTGGGGACAAAAAAACTAAACTAACCAGAGCTCAAAAACAATGCTAGAAGAACAGGACAAAATGAAGAAATAACCAAATCTCAAAAACTTCAGATAAATGACAGGAAAACAATACAGGGGCTGAATCCGAAATTGCCCCCAATACCCTTAAATAGGGCATTATTTGAAGGGACAAACATTTGTAGTGGTGTCCGTAACCATAGTGGACGTTATTGAGTGCACTCATTCTATCCCACATTGCACTGCAATAATGAGTGTACAACCGATGTACGCTCAACAGCTGTCTGAATTCGCTCATTCCTTTTCATTCACTCCTTCAAGTGAACAGTATTAGTGGACTAACGTAGGGTGTAGGGAGCGATTTCGGATTCAGCCTAGACTAAAGCGACAGCAAGAAGAACAAGATCAAGGTAAACACAGATGAGGGCCAGGTAAACTCAGTGATGCAGATTCGATTCAGCACAGGATAGAAAACAAGAGGGTAATAAAAAGGGTGACAAACGAACTAAAACAGGAGCTAGCCATTAAGAGATAAGGTAACAGGGGCAGAGTAACAATAGACAGAGCACATGGCATGACAACACAAACACCAGGAATCAGCCATGTGGTCCAGATATAGAAAGGAAACAAGACAAACAAACCCTGAGCTGATAAGACTGGCACCCTGACATACATAGATAGATTTCATAGGAAAAAAGTCTTCATAAATAATAAAAGTGAATTATTTAATTTTGACAAATTATTTCATTTCAAATCAGTTGCATGTCTAATTTCATGATAAATATTTTACACACAATATTATTACTTAATTATAAATGTCTTTATGGTTTAGGAATATGTTTATCTATACGTTTATTGAATGATTGATAATTTTATCCATCTATCGATCGATCGATAGATATAATAAAAATGTCAACAATAGAAATCATCAATAGAATAAACAATAATAATCTCTTAGAAAACAGAATGAAACATTAATAACATTACATTTGTTAAATGTTAATTATTTTGAATGTATTTTTATACTAAAAATTTTCAGTCCCTCTAGCAACCCTTTGCGGACTCCAGTTTAAAAAAGCCTGAACTAAAAAACAGCTAAATGAGTTAATAGGGAACATTTCTTAGACTTTACCATAGCAACTTCCTCATAGTGGCTGATGTGGCATCCCATGAGGAAGGCAGTCGGAGCCATAACAAAGTCAAGCATCTGTTGGGACAGTATGGGCACCAGTGGGTGCTGCCAGCGCAAGGGCCGAATATACAGCATGAAACACTCAGCGATCAGGGTCAGTTTGGACCAGTCGGAGGAAAAGAACACCATACTCTGCTCTGTGAGTATACTGGCTATGATCTACAGGGGAACAGAAACATGCAAAATTATTCCCATTTGATGTGGACCAAGAGAATCAATATCATTTTTGTTTAATCAAAAAGGTTTTTTTTTTTTCTCAAATATTTGCATCTAAAATTGACTGATTGACTGATAACTTTTTCCTTGTTAGAAGGAACACACACACACACACACACACACACACACACACACACACACACACACACACACACACACACACACACACACACACACACACACACACACACACACACACACACACACACACACACACACAGAGTGTTCATTCATTCGCTAACAAGGAAACTACAGTATCAATTTATTGTTGTTTCCATATTTAGAAATCAGCCTTATTACCTGCAGCAGCTCTCTGGACTTGAAGCAGAGGAACGGAAGATGCAGGTCCAGGTCAATGACAGGATGATTTTGATCTTTTTTGGATGGAAGGACAATGGTCAGAGGTAGCAAGGTGAACATCTGAAAAGAAAAATATGTAAATATATACAATATATTATATATTCATATGTAATCACAGATCTTCTTGTGGCATTACAGTTTTACTAAGCTCTCTGAATTAGCTAAACTTTAGATGCCTAAAATGAACCCACCACATGCAGCTGACCAGGAGGTGGAACTGGGATCAGAGCCAGTTTAGCAGAGAACTCCCTCACTTGCTCTTCCATATCAGTCATTTGACAGATTTTGAGCTGCTCTAAGAGGCTGAGGATGGGAGAGTGAAAACTCAGGTCATGAGGAAAAATCAGCAGACAAAGAAACAACTTTGACATTTGAAAAGTGTGACATTGTGGTGGTATCAAACTGGCAAGTACAGCATGAAGGCAGAATGCAGTTTATGATGTACCAATGCCCATCTAATACTGCTGACAAGCCTGTTGTTATACAGTATATTCTCCTGTGCCTTTTTTTCCAATACATGTGAATAATGTCTTGACTCTTGGCCATACCTGGACAGACAGTCCTTGAGAGTATTGTAATATGGGTGTTTTGATATAACACATATCGCATAAGCAGTGTAGAGTCGTGGAGACTTGGATGAGGACCGGTGTCCATTCTGATGAAGTATCCCTTCCTGTATAACAGAGTTTAAAATGAAAAGTTTGAATATATCAGAGCCTTAATCAAAACTGCATCACCTGCATGTCACTATATATCTTTCAATTTCATTAATCAATGGCTTTAGTTTATTTAGAATTTTTTTTTTTACACTTTTTTTCACTAACATTTTCCAGTCTCCCAAATAAAAAGTTTGAATATCTAAATGCGTAAATCAAAACTCCATCCCCTGCACACCACCATATATTTTAGTTTGAAAAGTACTTCAAATCGCAATTTCAGTTTCATTATACAGTGGTCTGTTTTATTTTTGCGACTTTAAACATATAATATCCATACTGTTAGATCCAGCCCATGTCTTAAGTGGTTAACCTTTATAAAAAGGTGGTTTTGAGACCATAACTAACAAACATTACATATATACTGTAACTCGGATCGGATGCCAAACCAACAATGTCCAAACAGTAATAAATTTTAAAGTCCCCCTGTAGTCAACAATTGTATCCCTTAAAACTCATCTTTGATCACCAAAATGACATATTTAAATGTTTTTTCCTGTGAAAAAAAAACGTCATGCCTTAAAATACGGTAGCTTGAATTTAACTCCACACCCTTGCCTCATTTAGTATACGTGGGTTCATGAATATGCAAATTAGCCCTTCCTCAACTCACACCAGCTCAGAGACTTGGTTTGATTCGGTACAAGGTAGTCAGAAACACCAGCGATTTCAAACTGCATCTTTTTTAAACTTCCATTTAAAGGAGAAAATAAAACACCACATATAAACAACATTAAAAACTTGATATTCATCACTGGGGGACTTGAATAAAAACTAGAGCAACTTCCAGTTACCATGTCACAATAATTCAGGACACACTCATAAACAGCAGGTAACATTCAGAGCAGGTGATCTGTCAATACACAACCATAAAGATAGGTTTTCAAGCTAATAATCATCTGACCTGTATTGGTTTATAGTACTGGAGAACTACTCCATGAGACTGGTTTCCAAACACATCAGTGAAGACTAGGAAGTGAAACTTTTCCACCTTTTGCTCCCGAGTTACCTGAAGCCCTCCTGATTTAGAAGAAAGAAATGAATGTTAGTGTAATCTAATCATTATAAACTAATGTTAACACTAGTCTGCACTGAACTATTTAACATTTACAGCATGAATTCTTCTTTATACTGCTGTCTGTGTGCTGACCTTTGCCCCGTTCTACAGAGATTTTATACTGTTTCTAAAGTATTACACTGTGAAATGTATGAAGGTCTGGGTGGAACAGAATTGTATCAGATGCATATAGTCAAGCTTTTGCACAGTTTAGTTTCACCTGGAAAGCAAAGATGAGGCAGAGCCACCAGATCCAGATCTTTGGGAACACAGACATCCTCTGGGATTTCATCCTTGGGGTTTCCAGTGTTAATAACGGGCCTATCCGTTTTCTTCTTAATGACGGAGCGCCGTAGCGGAGTATGGCTGAAATTTCCCATGGCCGGTTCAATGACGCTATCTTTGGGCACAAACGGAGGAGCACAGACCTGTATGACCTCAGGATCGAGCCGAGGTGGATGACTTCCATCCTCCTGCAGCAAAGACTGGTCACATATCGAAAAACACAGGACATTTACACATAAAATCACATGGTGCATGGTGATTCTCCATGGTGATTTTAAAGGTGTATCCATTGCCCATGATTAATTTGTTCATACCAAAATACCAATATTTTACTGAAATGAAGTGAGTATTTTTGTAAAATAAAAAAATTCAGGTACACTAATACCTGTATATACAGTATGACTGGAGACTTCATCTAATGTAAATGTAAACATCAATTTAAACATTGTCTAATGCGATGTTTAATTCTTTAGGAGCACTTTAGGTGTTTTTTGAAATGTTTTTTATTATTTTGATATACATTCTTTGAAAAAAAGTTTCTATATTGAACCTTAAAGGGTTATTTCAGGTGCTTCAGAACCTTTAAGGGGTTCACATCATGGGATAATTTTATGGATTTAGTTTTAATTAATCAATGTTGCTTTAATTCATTTTTAATTTTAATTACATTTTATGAATAAAAACATACTTTATTACTAGAAAAATGGAAATAACCCATTAAACAAATGTATTATGCAATCATTTAAGACATTTCTCCTTATGTAAAACCTTTTTGACATATTAGAGTAGAGAGTTCTTTAAAATTGAGTCAAGAACCCTGTGGTTCTACAGGTCCTTCTCAAAAAATTTGCATATTGTGATAAAGTTCATTATTTTCCATAATGTAATGATAAAAAGTAAACTTTCATATATTTTAGATTCATTGCATACCAACTGAAATATTTCAGGTCTTTTATTGTTTTAATACTGATGATTTTGGCATACAGCTCATGAAAACCCAAAATTCCTGTCTCAAAAAATTAGCATATCATGAAAAGGGTCTCTAAACGAGCTATTAACCTAATCATCTGAATCAACTAATTAACTCTAAACACCTGCAAAAGATTCCTGAGGCTTTTAAAAACTCCCAGCCTGTTTCATTACTCAAAACCGCAATCATGGGTAAGACTGCCGACCTGACTGCTGTCCAGAAGGGCATCATTGACACCCTCAAGCAAGAGGGTAAGACAGAAAGAAATTTCTGAACAAATAGGCTGTTCCCAGAGTGCTGTATCAAGGCACCTCAGTGGGAAGTCTGTGGGAAGGAAAGAGTGTGGCAAAAAACGCTGCACAACGAGAAGAGGTGACCGGACCCTGAGGAAGATTGTGGAGAAGGACCGATTCCAGACCTTGGGGGACCTGCGGAAGCAGTGGACTGAGTCTGGAGTAGAAACATCCAGAGCCACCGTGCACAGGCGTGTGCAGGAAATGGGCTACAGGTGCCGCATTCCCCAGGTCAAGCCACGTTTGAACCAGAAACAGCGGCAGAAGTGCCTGACCTGGGCTACAGAGAAGCAGCACTGGACTGTTGCTCAGTTTTGCATGTCATTCGGAAATCAAGGTGCCAGAGTCTGGAGGAAGACTGGGGAGAAGGAAATGCCAAAATGCCTTAAGTCCAGTGTCAAGTACCCACAGTCAGTGATGGTCTGGGGTGCCATGTCAGCTGCTGGTGTTGGTGCACTGTGTTTTATCAAGGGCAGGGTCAATGCAGCTAGCTATCAGGAGATTTTGGAGCACTTCATGCTTCCATCTGCTGAAAAGCTTTATGGAGATGAAGATTTCGTTATTCAGCACGACCTGGCACCTGCTCACAGTGCCAAAACCACTGGTAAATGGTTTACTGACCATGGTATTACTGTGCTCAATTACCCTGCCAACTCTCCTGCCCTGAACCCCATAGAGAATCTGTGGGATATTGTGAAGAGAAAGTTGAGAGACGCAAGACCCAACACTCTGGATGAGCTTAAGGCCGCTATCGAAGCATCCTGGGCCTCCATAACACCTCAGCAGTGCCACAGGCTGATTGCCTCCATGCCACGCCGCATTGAAGCAGTCATTTCTGCAAAAGGATTCCCGACCAAGTATTGACTATTGAGTGCATAACTGAACATAATTATTTGAAGGTTGACTCTTTTTTTTGTATTAAAAACACTTCTTTTATTGGTCGGATGAAATATGCAAATTTTTTGAGACAGGAATTTGGGGTTTTCATGAGCTGTATGCCAAAATCATCAGTATTAAAACAATAAAAGACCTGAAATATTTCAGTTGGTGTGCAATGAATCTAAAATATATGAAAGTTTAATTTTTATCATTACATTATGGAAAATAATGAACTTTATCACAATATGCTAATTTTTTGAGAAGGACCTGTATATAGAGCCCCATTGAATCTCTCTCTCTCTTTTTAAAGAGTGTACCATAGCACCTTTTATAAAGTAAGTAAATTTTATGTTTATGTATATTCCCATATATACAATAATAAAACTAAACGGTAAGGATTAACCTGAAAATGAAACCAAAAGATGCACCACAATCACAAATTCCATCACATAATAATATAGCCCTGTGCCTGTTTCATCATGTCTCGTGAACAATATGTTTTCTGTGTCTTTAGCAAGAGATCTAGTTTGTTTAGGGCACCTATTATGCCCCTTTTCACAAGATGTAAAATAAGTCTCTGATGTCCCCAGAGTGTGTATGTGAAGTTAACTCAAAATACCCAACAGATAATTTTTTACAGCATGTTTAAATTGTCACTTTTTGGGGCTCAGAAAAACGCGCCATTTTTGTGTGTATCCTTTAAATGCAAATGAGCTGCTGCTGCCGGTGTGGTGAAGTGTTGGGTCCCACTGAAGTGTAGAGTCCCAGCTAAGGACCCCATTAGTATGCTAGTAGTATGCCTGATCTAAATATGTTCTCACGATAACTTGTAGCTAACGTGAGCTGTTTAAAGGGGAACTTGGCAACTATTTCAACTTAATAAAACCGTTTAGAAATCATTTGAATGGTTCAATAACATGTTCTGGAGAGAATGGTGACTTTCCCCGCTCCCCCCAGATTTCCCAGGCAGAAAACCAACCTTGAAACATCGGGACTAACGTCCCGGTAAGTTGGAAATAGGAAGTCTCGTGAGAAGCGAGAACGAGCGAGAAACACGAACTGCTTTATGGCAATTCGACATAATTCTATGATATTGTGTATGATATATTACCCACCTCGGTAGACATAGCTCCACACGATAAAGTTGGCCGGCTCCGATAATAACAAATGCACATAAGCAGCGGTAGAAAGCGGGAGGAAGGTGACGCAAGTGAGTTTTTTTATGACAGCGTTGTGAAAATATACGCCGCACAGCTGTAGGGGGAGCTCGATGAGAAAACATGCGACAACAAAAGTGAAAATCAGCGAAGAAATGGCTAGAGTTGCCAAGTTCCCCTTTAAGCGTTATGTGGTAACTTTATGTAGGCCTAGAATGCTAAATCCCGCTGATATGAAGGCCTACAGCTAAATCCCGCTGCTATCTGCAAGATAAGATAAAAATTTAAATAAAAGATAAAAGCAGTTTGTTGCCATCAAGTAATACGTTTATTTGTATAGCGCTTTTCATAGTAGGTTGCGTCAATAGCAGAGGAGAAAGGCCGCGAAATTTTCAGTCGAGAATGTAGTTGTTTAAAGCTCAAATCTGTGGTCCCACTGAAGTGTTGAGTCCCAGCTAAGGACCCCAGCAATCCGATTGGTTCAAAGCACGTTTTATGGGTAATCGGTTTAGTGCCTGGTTACAAATCAGAGAAAATCACTTTATTATAGAAGACGTTTGAACGATAGTTTCTCGTGTGGATGCGAAAGTTTCTCGCGAGCACGTGAAAGTATGTATATTTAAATATATATTTTTTTTTTTTTTTTTTTTTTTCGTGAGCACATGATTGTTTCTAGTGAGCATGCGATAGTTTCTCGTGAGCACATGACAGTCTGTATATTTTTATTCTTGCAAAGGTCCCTTTAGGGGCTCCGTGTATTACAGTTATATTGTGTAAAAAAAAAAAAAAAAGGGAATACTGTCAGGATTACAATGGTTTCACTTATCTTATAAGATAAGTTTACAACAGCGTATAGTGGAAAACCAATCAAGGAAAACATATGCCTAGACTAGCCCCTCCTAGTGGTCATAATATAAAAAACAAAGGAAAAAAAACCTTCTGCTTTGCTTCAGAAGGCCTTTATTAACCCCCCGGACCCGTTTGGAGTTCATTTATGATGGATGGATGCACTTTTTTGAGCTTCAATCTGTTGGTTGCAATCCACTGCCACCATAAAGCTTGGAAGAGCCACGACATTTATTAATATAACTCGGATTGTATTCGTCTGAAAGAAGAATGTCATATACACCTAGGATGGCTTGAGTGTGGGTAAATCATGAGATAATTTTCAATCTAAAGTGAACTACTCCTTTAATAACTTAATAGCTTTCTAAGAATAACACAAGCTTAACAAAAAATATTCTTACAAGAATGTTTTCCAACAAAATAAAGGAAATATTAACTTGTTTAAAGCTTAATTTTTTCCATCAGGCACTAATTTTCAGACTCTTAATAAGCTGCTCAGTTGCGGGTTACACTTGTTTGAGCAGCAATGTAGGCAAAACAGATCTGAGAGAAATTTCGAAAAGTAGAATTAAAGAGCTGGTTCTGTTGCTTTTTACTTGACTTTGTTTACATAATATGTGACTTTGAAGGAATCCAAAAGTAATCAGATTACATTATTTTTATATTGTGCAAGATTACGTTACTGAATACATTTTTTATGAAGTAATTTGTAACTGTAATGGATTACATGTTTAAGGTAACCCTCCCAACTCTCTTATTCTACCTGGGACAGCTCCTTCAGTTTATCATTTGAAAGTCCAACAACGACACATGCTTCCAGTAATCCTGAAGGCAGACCGTCTGCCATTGAGAATCAAAAAGATTGTCACTCCTCATAAGATCTGCAATACACACACACACACAGACACAGACACAGAGAGAGAGAGAGAGAGAGAAATACACATTAATTTCCATGCTAATTGAAATCTGAAAGTAGAAAATTTTTGCTTAACACTGAACCGTAGAATGTGGTAACCTATAAAGATACATTAACATCTTACACAAATCCCATAAATCAGGGATAACACAACATCAACCAAACAAGCAACTACAGGCAACTTGTAACTCAGATAACATTTTAAAAGACCACACCAATGATGCCAGGCATGGTTGTGTAAACAGAAGAAAGTTATTACACACCCTGGAAAATGTACTCGGTTACTTACGTAACCTCGGTTCCCTGAGATATGGGAACGAGTACTGCGTCGCTAGATGCTATTATGGGCAAAACTCCTTTTTCTCCGAATTCTGAAGCCTTTTTAATCACGCAGTGAAACTGCACGGCCATTGGTTCGTGCAGAGTAATAAAACAAAATGGCGGAGCTGCACGAGGCAGAGAAACCCGCCAGGGCGTGCTAATATGGGCGTGGCATCTGGCTATAAAAGCAGGCGATCTGGCATAGGATACTCAGATTAAATTCAACTGAAGCGACGAACTGAGAGTCGTGCAGCAATATAGCACGGCCTGAAACGCAGTATCTCAAGGAACCGAGGTTACGTAAGTAACCGAGGTTACGTAAGTAACCTTTCGATACTTTACTCATACTGTGTCGCTAGACGCTGTTATGGGGAACCAATACAATCACGCCGTGCTATGGCTGCGAAACGACTATAATGATATACTTGGCCTTAAGCCCTAGCAGAGCCTAGAGGAACCAAGACATAATAGGGAATACTCATTTCTTTGGTGCGGCCTCCGAAGCATACAAAAAGCTGTTCCGCATGTCTAAAAGAGGCAGAACGCTCTATGTATATTCTAAAAGCCCTGACAGTGCAGAGTAAATGCAGCTCTTGTTCATCCGCGGAGGGAGGAAGTGCTGAGAGGGAACAACAGAGTAGAGAGCACCTTAGGTATATAACCATGCTTTGGTTTGAGGACGACTTTGCAGTTGTTTGCAAATTCCAAGCATGAGGCTGGTTTGCCTTCACACAGAGCTCCCCAACCTGTGTCGGAAGCATCTGTCGAGACCACTTTCCTTCTGGTAACCGCCCCCAGCGCCACGCCAGACTGGAACCAATGAGGATTCCTCCAAGGGGCCAGGGCTGACATGCAGGCCTGGCTCACCCTGAAACGTAGGCGTCCATGATGCCAGGCATGGGCTGGTACTCAAGGTTTCAACCAGTACTGTAGGGGCTGTGTGCAGCAGTACTGGAGAGGGAGAGGCCATGAGGCCCAGCATCCTCTGAAAAGACCTGACGGTGGGAGAGGCTCTGATTTTGAAGGAGGCCGCGAGCTGTTCAATGGTCAGAGCGCGATTCAGGCACCTGAGGTCTAAGATGGGTCTGAGACCGCCATCTTTCTTGGGGACGAGGAAGTAACGGCTGTAAAAGCCTGACTCGCTCTGTGCTGGCGGGACCGTTTCTACGGCTCCTTTCGCCAGTAAATTCATCACCTCGGCGCGGAGGACGAGAGCTTTGTTGCTCCATACCAAGGTGGGAACCACGCCGCTGAAGTGCAGGGGTCTGCGAGCGAATTGTAGAGAGTAACCTCATTTTATTATCCCCAAAACCCATTCTGACACTCCGGGGATGCTGTCGGCGCAGTCCTGGGGCGACTCGGAGCATTATGGGAGCTTAAATGCTTGGGTAGGAAGTGTCACATAGCCTGGGACGACTTCTGTGCCATGGTGAAGTGCTATCCGAAGCCTTTAACGGTGTGTCCGAATAGGCCGGTGGGAGAGACTGGCCATGGATCTCCCAATAGCCTGTGCCTTCATTTTAGTAGCGCGCAGGGCCAGGTTAGTTGCGCTGCACAGCTCTCTAAATGCGGCCGGGTCGGGTCCAGACTCCTACATGCTGCGGAGGAGTTTGGCCTGGTAGACCCATAGCACGGCCATAGAATGTAGTGCGGACGTAGTGCCTGCCCAGCCGAAGAGTAGACTCGTCCACCGAGGGCTGACGTGGTCGTACAGGGCTGAGATGGATGAACTGCGCCGTCAACACTGGTGAGAGCGGAAGAAGAAGAAGTTTGCAGACGGGCTGAGTAGGGGGTGCGCCATGACTTCGTGAGCTCGTCGTGGACTTCCGGGAAAAATGGCGCTGCTTGCTGACGAGGGGCCTGATGGCGCCCTGGCAGGAACCACTCATCTAACTGGCTGCGTGTGGGTTCTTCAGGGGCAGCCCAATCCAGTCCAAGCTCTTCGGCAGCTTTGGAAAGGACGTGGAGAAGCTCGGCGTCAATCCCAACTCTTGCGTCGGTTGGCTCTCAAAAGAGCAAGAAAGCGATCCCAGTGGGAGGGATCGGCAAAGAGCTGATCAACAGTGAGAAGGCTTGAATCCTCGGGAGTATCAGCGAAGAGAAGTGTCGTCGCTGAAAGAGAATTGATCTGAGTATGCCAGATCGTCTGCTTTTATAGCCAGATGCCACGTCCATATTGGCACACTCTGGCGGGCTTCTCTGCCATAGGATCATGCAGCTCCGCTGCCTCGCCATTGGTCATTACTCAGCACGAACCAATGGCCGTGCAGTTTCACTGCGTGATTAAAAAGGCTTCAGAATTCGACGCAGTACCAGTAAAGTATCGAAAGGGAACACACAGATGTGTATCATAATCTAATTTTCCTGCTCTGGAAGTTCCTGGGTTAAATTAGACTCGTGTGTTGCAAGAGTAAAATTTCTCAAGAGCAGGCTACAATATTTTAATAAATAAAGTACATATTAAAAATATAGCTATTTTAAACACACACTTAATCCACAACTGAAACAACATGCAACACTTAATTTAATTACTGCTCACTCCCCCCTCCTCGTCATAGGTATATTAACAGTATTTTTCCTATTTCAAGAGGTATTTAACCTAATAGGAATAGCTGCAAAAGTGTTCACATAGATGGGTAGCTGTTCTCTATGAAATATCTATCTAAATGGCCTAATCTAAAAGTTAGCGAAAACGTTTAAAAAAAATCATCATCGTGTATTCTTCTACTACCCATATAAAATGCTCATGTTTGCTGAGAATGCACGCACCTTTGTCGATCATCGGTATTCCCGAAAGTGAAATTACGCACCGGGACAGTTGGATATAAACGGGACACACTAAACACGTTCCAGCATGCGGAGCACATGATCTGCGCATGCGTTCTACAGTCAACAGGTACGTTGTTCTCAATGGCCAGGTGCTACCTTTATGGTGAGGCAAAACCAAACCTGATTATATTTGGAAAGCAATTATCTGACATAAAAAATAGCTAGTTTTAAACACATCAAATATCCGTAAACAGACACTCATAGAATTGTGACACCCAGAAATAACTGTTGCTGATTAAACATAATACAGTTTAACGCCCAGAACATTATTTTCTGAAGGTTAATCATCTCTTTTCACTGACTATTTGCTGAAATAATTGAAAAAAAGTTTCAAGCCCTATTTTTTACCTTCTTCATTCATGAAATACGACTCGCAACAGTGGATGAGAACAAATTACTTTTTAAATGAAAATATTGCAATGAAAATGAAATCGTTCACGGTAACTTAACGGTAATCTAGTTTTTGTTAAAAGCGAATTTACTTTTTCCTGAAATATGTAGGCCTATATAGGCTCGTGTATTATGTGTCACCTATGTGTGTCACCCAGTATCCAATGTACTTACGCCATCTAGTGGTCCATCAATTTATTTCAGATTCAACCATCAACCACACTGTACTGAAGTTTCAAACAATCATTCAAACAGGGAAAAGTGTAAAGCTTTCTCTTTATCAAAACTGAACACAAATCCAAAATAAACACCTAGAAACAGTATAAACTTTCAAATTGGTTCAAACAGTAAAACAAAAGTCAGCAGTACCACAAATAAAAAAAGTGTCCACCTTGATTATGAAACAAACAGATTTTTTGCCTGATAAAATAGGATACAAAGCCAGGCCACTGACCTCCGTACATCAATTGCAGACATCACATTTCCAGCGATGCATTTGAACTACATTTATGAACATAAGAGGCCATAACTTAGTTGGTCCACTTAGGCAGAGTGGAGATCTGTGACTTGTTAGTGAAGAAAAATTTGGCCTGTCATCTTGATTGAAAAGCAGTCTCAAAAACTTGTGTATATAAACTACGCAACAGTACTGGAACAACATTATGAATTTGGCTGTGAAAAATACTGCCACTATTAGAGTGTCATCACTTAAGACGGAGGCTGACAGACAGTAAAACTTGCCATGACAGCTAAACACACTTCTTCATTTCGCACCAATCACTGCTGCAAAAAGCAAAGCCATTTCTTTACTTAATGCCATGGTTATCCATTCTATTCATACCATCAAATAGTGTACCTAAGAAAATCACATTTCTGAACTAAAGGCAACTCTGAAAACCAATGTCTTATTTAAAGTCTAGAAACATTACAAAAAAATATTTTGGTGCATAGTTAAAGTCTTTACAGAAGTGAGCATTTTGCGCTTGAAAACAGCAGCTTTACCCCTGAGTGTTTCTCATGAAATGAAGGACATACAATGATAATCAGACATATTTTAACAGAGTAAAACGTCAGTCTGAAAAAGTAAACTCACATCTGGTATGTAAATGTTGACTTGCAAAGTGGAGTGATTAAATGTGTGGGAAAAATGTATTAGCATGTGAAACAATGCGTTCACTGTAGTGACGTAAACCTGGTAATTTTTTTGTAGACAATGGAAATGTTTGGGCACAAATAATAAATAGCTTGAGAAATAATCTCAGAAATCACATATTTGACTCAAATAGTCTCTGTACCAAATCCACAGAATAACATCAGCATGTGTGAGAGTATATGAATGGTAGAGCATGCCCCTCTTAGTCTTTTGTCTTAACTTGCTTGTGCATTCTGGGATTGGAACTTCAAAAACTCTAGTATTTTACGTTTTAACACTCAAACTGAGGATTCAACCTCTGGCTTGCTGGAACTGTTCCTTGGCATTGACTTTAAAACACTGTGTTTCTCTGTACTGTTATTGGACGCTGCCTCCGATTTAACAGAACTTGGGCCTGGCTCTTCGTCATCCTCGTCTTCATCATCGTCAAGTGTATCAGGGTAGATGACGAGGATAGCCGCAGCAAAGAAAGCAAGAAAGGATCCTCCCGATGCCACCATAGGGATCACTCTCACTGTGCCAACCGCATCTACAACCGCACCGAGCGCCGACGCCACCAAGATCTGAGAGATGTAAACCTGACATGTCAGGATGGCGCAGTCGATGCCAAAGCCTCGCCGTGAGTTGCCAGGGCTGTGATGAATGTACTATGACAATGTAAAAGAAAGATAATAGACACTCATTGAAATGACTGCTGTAACAAATCAAGTGCTACTGGCAGTGAAAATGTATTCTGTATAAGCCGATCTTCCAAATCTATATCCATATATATATATATATATATATATATATATATATATATATATATTACACACACATATACATACTATTCTACAAGTGTTCAGGGTCAGTAAGATTTTTTTGAATGTTTTTAGCAAAGATCCATAAAATTTATCAAAAGTGACAGTAAAGACACTAAAAATCTGACAAAATAGTTCTATTTTAAATAAGTGCTGTTATTTTAAACGTTCTACTCAATGAATCCTGTAAAAAAAAATTAAGCAGTTTAATGTTTTCAACATTAATGATAATAAGAACTGTTTCTTGAGCACCAAATCAGCATATTAGAATGATTTCTGAAGGATCATGTGACACTGAAAACTGTAGAGTAATGATGCTGAAAATTCAGCTTTACCATCACAGGAATAACTTGTATTTTAAAATAAAATAAAAAAGAAAACAGTTGTTTTAAATTGTTTCACTGTATTTTGATCAAATAAATGCTTTGGAGAGTTTAAGAGACTTCTTTCAAAATCATTTTGAAAAATCTTAAAAAGATCATTCCAAACGTTTGACCAGTACTGTGTATATGTTATTGGTAATTTCATATATTTGATACATTTATAAAATGATACAGACCTCTTTGATTTCATGGTACTGTCCCAGAAGAGCATAAGGGCAGTATGACATGCTCATGGAGATGATTCCCATGGTGCTTATCATCACCATAGCAACATATACATTTGGAAAGATGGACATGACAGCTGTTCCCACAGCAAAGGCTAGAGTCCCCAACATGTAGGTGATTTTTATGCTTAGATCATAGTTGTTTAAGATCCTTTGGAGCACATCTGTAAAACATGTTTCTGATTATTCGGTTTGAATAATAATCAGAATGGACACCAACAAAGACAGAACAAAAAGTGCAGACTATGAAACCATGTTCAAAAGTTTGGGGTTGGTCTTTTTTTGGGTGTGTTTTGAAATGTCTTTTGCTCACCAAGGCTGCATTTATTTGATACAAAATACAATAAAAACAGCAATATTGTGAAATATTATTACAACTTAAAATAACTTTCTATTTTAATATAATTAATATATTTTTTTTCCTGTGATGGCAAAGCTGAATTTTCAGTATCATTACTCCAGTCTTCAGTGTCACATGATCCTTCAGAAATCATTCTAATATGCTGGTCTGGTGGCTAAAAAACATTTCTTATTATTATCAATGTTGAAAACAGTTGCGTTGCTTAATATTTTTGTGGAATCCGTGATAAACCATTTTTGAGTCTAGAAAAGTCTAGAAGACTAAAAAGTCTAGAATATAGAAGGCTCGCTCAAAAGAATTATGTCATTTGAAATAGAAAGGTTTGTAACAATGTAAAATTATTTACTGTCACTTTTGATCAAATTAATGCATCTCGCTTTTCTATAATGCATTTTCTTTCAAAATGAAAAAAAACGTACTGACCCCAAACTTTTGAACAGTAGTGTTACATAATATATGTGACAAGTTAACGTTTCTCAATTTAAAAAAGACAACAATTTGAATTCTAAATTACATGTAAAAATAAAACCAAGAAAATATACCCAACATTCTGATCTTCATAAAGGGAATTACAGATTCAAGACAAAATGTATAAAAACTAAACTGGTTATTCCACAACATGGTCATGTGAGTGTCTAAATACAGAACTGAAACCTGATCCTCACCCAAAAAAAAAAAAAAAAAAAAAAAAAAAATCTCATCATTAGCAATGTCCTAACCAAATACAACACATGACCGTAACACACACCTGAGCAGAGGGCAGCTGTAGCAGCGTAGATCACAAGACCCCAGCAGCCCATCTGCACACCTTTACTGTAGTTCTGCAGGGCGGTGGAGTTAGCAGCAGCCTGGTTTTGAAAAACATCAACAGGACATCCAGTGTAAATATATATACAAATAAATTCAGTATTAGATACCATTAAATAGAGCCTGTATTATATCAACTCTAGATATTACAAAAGTAAATTGTATGTAGTGAAGACTAGGGGCGTTTTCAGACATGTATATCATTTGCTTTGTTCACAAACAGGGATTAAAACTGTTACAATGTTGCTATTTCTTCTTGGTTCAGTTCACTTTCACAAGGCAACATTTTTATTTAAAGGGTCATGAAACTCCACTCTTTCAGCTCAAGCCTAGCTCACAATCTTTTTGAAAAAATGCAACTTAAATGGGCGTGGATGGCTGTGAGAAGAAGGGAGGGGAGTGGGTGTGGTATGGCACGGCAGGGGAGGGGAGGGCGGGATAACTGTCATTGGCCAGTGGCCCCTGCATATCAACTGTCACTAAAAATCAGTGGTAAAACGTGAGGAAATGCTAGATTTTTTATAGCTGGCAAAGTTAAAGTCTAATGAAATACACTGACATGTTATTTTTGTCCTTTCAAAAGTAACTGAATGCCCTGCCTATATTAGCCTACAGTAATCGTAATTCTATTTAACACATATTAATGTACATGTATATTTTATAATGACATTATAATTGTACATTTGTTTATATACACACTATAAATGCATGTATTTGAAAATAATTCATTTGAAATGATTATAAAGATATACTGCTCTAGCCTGGGTGAATAGTATTCGCTGAGTTTTGTTTAAGTTTAGAGACGTGCTCCAGAAAAAAAGTTCATGGAGACGGAGAGGCAGAAAGCACATCCTGTTTATTTTCTTTATTTTAAGCACAATGTTTTGTTTCGATTGTAAGTGGACACATAAAAAGTAGACATTTAACAGTTTATTTTTTCATATTTCTTAAAGGGTCACTCCACCCATTTGCATTAAGAGGTCCATTGTTAGACAACCAGTCATACTATTGAATGGTCGTGCAACATTCTTTCATTTTCCCCTGAGACGAGAGAAATCTACTATTTACCTTTTTCACTTCCTCCTACAATGACGCAAAAATCGTCATTTGACGTCATTGTAGGAGGAAGTGTAAAAAGGGGGGATTTCTGTATAGACTACAAGCACAAATTCCCACCCTTTCAAACCCGCCCATAGGGGGTTGGACCTAATGCGCTAACAGAGCTATCACAGATCAGTGGGTGGGACTTCACTTGCAGATACTGAAAGCAATATCAGCCATCTTGTTTATAAGCTAAGCTAACAAGCGCTGTGGATATAGGAAGTTACGACAATGACGGAAGAAACTAAACATGATATGGAAGAAGAGGATTTTGAAATTCTGCTGCTCGAATCCGCTGTTCGTGGCTATCTTTACGAGCCCCAATATAGTGAAGAGCAGCTGAGGCTGATGGTGGAACAGGAGGCGGCTGCCTGTCGCGGACGAGGAGCCCGGGCTGGCTTGAGCTGGGCGGACTGCTGGTGCGTGTGCTCTCGCTGTGCGCTACGGACACAGATAGAGTCCGTCTGCTGCAGAGAATTTCAACAAGGCAGTTTCTCCTGGACGAAATCTCTGAATCAGACGACCACACGGACGTTTGTGTTGTGATGTGAACCATCCTAGTTTCGCCTGACTGAACATGCAGGTATCATGCAATAATTCACCATATAGAAAGAAATACAAACGAGTAATTCACTAATGAGTTTGCCAATGTAACGGGGTTCGTTGTTGTGGGAAGAAGGAGGCTGGAACCGGCGAACATTTAAACGTTTTAATAGTAAAATAAACAAATACAAAACAAAAGTATAAGCCAGCTGGCCACACACAACAGAAACAAAACATAAAATCAGGCCTGTTCCTTTTGTGCTTCCGCTCCTCCGTGAGAGATATGAGACCGCTGCACAGGTGCCATTCATTATCACTCGCGTCGTCCTCTCACGTCCCTCGCCCTCGTCCTGCTCGCCACAACTAACTAGACATTTTTTGTGAAATGAATTTTAAACTCATTTGGCAGCTAGCCTTCTTGTAGACGGAAGAGCGATTTCTCTGATGTTTGCGCTGTTCTGGATTAGTGGGAGTGGCTTGCGGAGCTGTGCAACATGGTGCATTGTGGGAGTTGTTGTCTTACATACAAATGCGCCCCAAAGTTATTTTCTGTCTTTTCTCGGTCAAGAGGGCACCAAATTTAAAATTTCTTTTACATTTCGACTACATATATAACCCACTTTCAATAAAGATTAATGTTGAAATGGGTGGAGTGACCCTTTAAGTCTGTATGACCATAAATGATGGAGTATTTTAAGTCTATTTTTCTGCTATGTGAAAAAAATCCAGCAAAACTCGCCGGCGCGTTTGTCGACCCCAGAGGTTTAACAAAACTAAGGCAAGTAAAACGGTCAGGGTTACATTTTAGACACACACACCTCTGAAGGGATAGAAAAGTCCTCGGGACTTGGTACCGCATCACTCGCAAGACGCAACCTGGATTGGTGAACAAGGCCGAAGTCCACCATTCTCCAGTTCTCGAAGCTCTCTCTCGCTACAAAAATGCTTGCTACACACACATTGTTTAGATGTGTCCGTGGTTGATGGCCAACCAACCGTCGCAGCCAGAGTCTAGCCCTGGCAGCATCGCGGGGAAAGATATGCAACGCACTGGAACTTTTGCTCATCTACTGCGCGATATCACAGTTTGACATGTCGGTCATTGGAAAGATCCACGTGGTGTCATGAATAATTAAGAGACAGTGTCTTCTCATAGGATAAGAAAACTCAGTCTCATGAATAATTATGAGACACCAATGAGTCATCAAAGCACTCACAGGACACGATGAAGATTTTAAAACTAAAATTTAACTAAAATTTAACCATTTTCCCCCTACTATTAATATCTAACAGATGCTAACATTGTCTTCAATGGTGTTCAACACGCATACCTCTGTTAAAATCTCAGAAAATTGGGTTTAGGGGTTCATGACCCTTTAAATTTACGGATTTAAAAATTTTTTTTTTTTTTTTTTTTCGGGTGCGGATACGAGCGCGATTGCCGTGTTCATTTGCCTTAAACTAAACGAACTAAGTGAGAAAGCACGCCAGGTTCCAAAACAATGCTCCAAACGAGCCAGATGTGAATATGCCCTCAAAGTATCACAATGTTGGCAGGCTAATAATTTGGTATTTTCATTGATTAAAATTGTGATCATTATAATTATTTTTACTTTATCTGGCAAATAAATTAAATAAATTCTAATTTATTAATAATTTTACACATTCATTTTATTTTTAATTTATATTAACAAAAACTATAATTAAAGGACAGGATAAAGAACTCTTCTTACAGTCGGGTCTCCTTCAAAGATAACCTGGCCCATGAAGTCTGTGTAGAACACAGCCTGTGCGATCATGGAGAACCAGGTGAGCAGGTGACATACACACAGACGCCAGAGCTGGGGCGGCATCTTCAGCATGGACAACCAGAGTAGTTTGACCGTCGTACCACCATCTCCATCCTCGCTTTCTTCGTCTTCCTCAATCCTGCGGGATGCAGAGATATTACTTGGTTGCAACTTCCGCCTCTCATGACGTCTAGGTATTTTGTCGATGTCATTCAGGCTTTGTGAAGATTTGATTGGCCTGGCCATGTTGCCGTATCGGCGTCGCCATTGAAAGCCCACACGTCCGTGATAAGAGAAAGTGAAAGAGGGCTGGCGGTAGAAGGAAGGGTGGCGGCGGCGTACTGGGCCGCCGGATGGTCGTAAACCAACTTTGCCTGGTTGATTATTGGCATTCGCTGCTCCATTAATTGGATTGCCGTTTACAGTATTGGCAGCTCCACAGATGTGTTCCCCATTGCTATCACACTTCTGTAAGTGGTTGTCAGTGCACTGACCTAGCTGACTGGTGTTGTGACAATCCACTGTTGTTCCATCAACTTGCAAACCCTGAAAGTCCTGGAATAAATTTAGTTCGATGTCCCAAAGAAACTGCCCATCGCGATCCAAGTCTGGGTCAAGCTCTATGGTAGAATCTGGCATGGCTAAAACTGAGTCACTTTTACATCGCACCAATTCGATGTTTAGAAAATCAGTTGAAACATCCCGATCAGACCGATCATCCTCGTGGGCTGAAAATGGCTCCTCCTCAGGGATAAGTTCTAGTTGAGGCAAGAGGCGAGTGGATGGAAAGCTTCCATAGAGCTGGACAGAAGGTGGCCTTTCTTCATCCTCATCCTTCAATACCCCTGGCTGGTTGGGGTTATATAGATGCTCCTTGATGCTGAAAAGATGAAGCGTCGCAGAAATGATAAAGATGATAGCAGCAAAGAAAAAGAGGACCTGCTCTTGGGCCTTAAAAGCTCGACCCAGAAAGGTATTGGTCCAGTCCAGCCCTCCAAGCACGTAACCTACAGCACCTCCCAGCCCTGAAAGACAGGAATTACATCACTTTAAACCACCGAAAACAGAATATACAACATCAATGCAGTAGGGGTGGGGGGAAAAATCGATTCTTAGATGCATTGCGATGCGGACGTGGACGATTCTGAATCGATTCGCAAATGTCAAAAATCGATTTTCGGAAAAAAAAAAATATATATATATATATATATATATTTATTTATAATAACGTAATATATTGACGGAACTCTGAAGCGCGGAAGTGCAGTGCCCGGACCGTCTGTGTTGTGCACATAACAGAGACGCGATGACTGAGCGCGATATCCAAACACCCTCCTCGTTAAAAGCTGACGTGTGGAAATATTTTGGCTTCTGTGAAGTTGAAGGGGGGAAAGGAGCTGGACAAGAGCCACACTATTTGTAAGCTTTGTGGAATAAAACTAAAATATTTCGGAAAACACGACAAATATGAGAAGCCATATGACACGTTTCATATGGCCACCAAAGCACATTTTTGTCCATTTTTGTTTTTGTTTTTGATCGGTGAGTGATGTAGAAAAAAAATGACTGCTGCGCTTGACAGCCGCGAGCAGAGAGAGAGAGAGAGCCCCGGCCGCGCGCGCGCACTCTCACGTCTTCAAACAACACGAGCGCTGTCTTGGTCTCTCTCTTCCTCGCGCATATCAAAATCAATTGACACGATAGTAAAAGGTCGGACGGAAGACCGCAGTTTCACGTCGAGCATTTGGAGATTTTAGAGATTAGAGACTCTAGGCCTACACTCAAAGAATAACATATCACTAAATTATAAAGGCCTGTCTAGTTAGTGTGTTGCATTTTGTCACTGTGTTCTACAGTACAGTATATAAGCTGAAGCTACAGTAAGCTGTTCAAAAATGTTCATTTTGTCTTCTTAATGATTAAATTGGACAATTTTCTTCTAGAAAGACAAGGTGTTCAGGTGGAGAAAAAAACTTTCTTTACCTTGACATGTTTCGACTGCAACCTGCAGTCTTCCTCCACCTGAACAACACCTTGTCTTTCTAGAAGAAAATTGTCCAATTTCTACAGTATGTTGGTTCTGATCTACTTCCTAAAGGAAATAAGCCTTTCATTTATTTGTTATTGTTTAGTTCAACTTGATGAGTCACAACACAATGTGATGTATTCATGTTCTACAGAACATAAGCTACATACACGACACAGAAAGTGCTTTGAGTTTTTGTTACTCAATAAAAGAGTTAAGTAATTCAGCAGCTGACTTTTTTTAATACTGCAATCACTTTGTAGTGTATTTTCATTTACTGTTGTGAAATGGAAAATCAATAATCACTAACCGAGAATCGTTAATAATCGAAAATCGACTGTAATCGAATCGGGACTTCAATAATCGTAATCGAATCGAATCGGGAAATCAGACAGATTTAACCACCCCTACAATGCAGCCTTCAAGGGTAAATATCTAAATAAAAAAAGTCTATTATGCTTAGTTGCTCACCAAGTCTGTATTTATTTGATCAAAAATAGGGTAAAATTTATACAATTTTTTTAAATAAATATTTTAAAATCTAATTTATTCCTGTGATGGCAAAGCTGAATTTTCAGCAACTGTCTTAAGTGTCACATGATCCTTCAGAAATCATTCTAATATGCTGATTTGGTGCTCAGGAAACATTTTATATAATATTAAATGTTGAAAACCTTTAAATATTTTTGTGAGAACTATGATATATATTTTTTGTTCAGTATTCATTGATAAATTAGAAAGTTCAAAAGTATTTATTTGAAATGGAAATAATTTGTAACATTACAAATGTCTTTACTGTTACGTGTGATCATTTACTGAATAAAAGTATTCATTTCTTTTCTTCTTTTTTTTATGTACTGACCCCAAACCTTTGAACTGTAGTGTATAATCACTTTTTACCATGCAAGTTGAACATTGTTAGATTACTGATTAGATCTTTGAGTAATTATCTAATTAAAACATGACTGTTTTTAAAGAGTTGAGATGGTTTAAGTCTGATGCTAAAGAACAGAGCATCTCTATTCCAGTTCCCTCCCGGTCCCAGAATATATACCTGCTGAGAAAGCATGTATATTTAAAGCCACATCCTGTTCCTCAGTATCAGCCACATCCAGGAGGTAGGCTCTGATTGGTCCGTCCAAAGCATCAGCACAGAAGTCCAGAACCACCACACCAACAATAGTCAGCACGATCCCAAGCAGTTGATTACCAGGGACGTCACCCAGAGACAGACCTGTTTGAGAGACACATTAAAATAAGCATTAAGGTCAAAATAAAGATGTAATTTTTTTAATATATAGTCATGGGACTAATGGGACTTTAAATAACAGTGGCATGCAACTATGTGCATGAACAATATTGTTCAATTAGTTTTAAGCAATATATAAATACATAAAATAGTAGTAATTACCTATAAGAGATCCATTGAGAAATAAGGCCAGTCCTATTAACAATCCTACACACAGCACCAAAATGAAGGGTCTCCTCCGACCCCATTTCAAAGTGCAGCGGTCACTTGCTGAGCCAATCAGAGGGGTGAAAATTAAACCCAAAATAGGACTGAGGAACCAGGTTAAGCTGTAATACTGCTCTGGGAGACCTGCAAGCAGAAAAAGGACCACGATCAATACAATTCCAAGGTTCAGGCAGATCAACATTTTTAAAAACCAGTTTGCTGAAATGTACCAATATGGCAACTATAGCAAACTCTCATCATTTGAAACAGATGACTAGGCGAATTTCAGCATGTCTATAAACCTTTCACACAACAGATCTAAAACTGTTTCATAGTAATGAAGCAACCACATTGCCTCTAACAATAAAACTATTATCAAATGCGATGACTCGGAGTAAATAAAAAGGACGTGGGAAAACTGGGGAGTATTTGACATGATTTGGAGGTAATGGCTCAAAGCAACTAGTTTTAACAATAACAGCTGTAGGAATTTTCCATGAGTCGAGCATTTTCTAGTCTTACACGCAGAACTCGTGCCAGGACTGATGACATACTAAAATCCAAACACTTGATTACTCAAGTGAAACTTAAAATGTCAAACAACTTATTTTTTCAAGAAGTCCAAATATGCGAAATAACATGTCATGTGTGAAGTGGGATGCAGACTGAGAATGTGAGAACAGAAAGTGCAGACAACAGACACGTCACATGTCAAATCATACCTCTTCAGCTTTAAAGATGAACAACCATCTATTCAACTACATTCGAACCTCTACAGATCAGAATAAGGTGCATTTGGTGGTGGATTTGATCCTTTCTGTGCAAAAAAACAACTATGGTTGATTGTCTATTAAACCACGCTCAACATTTCAATTATTTTACCTATTTTCATCCAGTAGGCTATTTGAGATTTTAAGGGATGCATATATTTTGCATCAACATGCACATTAAAGGGACAATTACAGAGTGATTAAGGCTACGATATGCTAAATCTTCTGGGAAATTGCCCTTTTAGAGTTTACTGGATGATGTTCAGTATATTTTCAGCTGGTAAATTACTAAAACTGCTTTTAGTATGAGATCAGAGGGCCTTCAGAGCTATTCAAACCTTTTGTAATATTAACCCTGCAGTTTCCTGAGAGGATCTGTTGACATTGATCTTATTCAAAATGGACGGAAAACCGAGAGAAAGAGAACTGCGCACAGCCGCACACTAACACATTCTCTGAATTCCATGCCTACCCTCGTCCATTTTTGCATGCTATTGTGGAAACAAGCATTCCTTCGTCTTACTACTGACACAGGGTTGGCATTGACACAATGGGGAACCCTTACCAAAACCAAAGGAATGTCTCTGTTCAATGATTATGAATAGAGGTCTTAATCCTAGAATAATTAAAAAACACTAAATCACCCATTAACCCTATATCTATTGACCTTATTTCGCAACATGGAAGTAAGCTACCTTCTGTAAATGTGCAAGACCTCTAATTCATTAGTGGTTAAATAATTAGAAGAATAACAAAGTGCAGCAAATAGTAAAACTATTCACTACAAATCATTGCGTTTATAATTACGACAATACATTAAAATAATATTATAAGACATACCAGTTTGCAATATCAAGCAGCATTAACAAGCTGTTTTGTACAGCTAAAAATAATTGGAGGCGAATGACATCAGACGCCATGACTCATTCAATTTACAAGGTACAAAAATAAGGTGGATACAAAGTGCAGACCTGAATGATATTGCCAAAATGGCCTTTTCTAAAAAAGTGTGCATGAGACTGTGCCTGTTTCGGTTACATCAGCATTTTCCATGCTTTATCGAAATCTAAAGAATGTTAAAAAGATCTAAATGCTGTGTGAGGCAAGTGACAGGAAAAAATTATACAAAAATGTCTGTCAAAAGAATAGTGTTTTGATAGTGTTAATAGAGTTTATTTCTTCTGTGGAACACAATAGATGTTCTTTTGAAGAATGTTTTTGCTCATACAATGAAAGTCAATGGGGTCCAAAACAACACTACCTCATTGACTTTCATTTTGTGGCCAAAAACACCAACAGTTTTCATAATATCTTCTTTTGTGTTCTACAGAAGAAATAAAGTCACACGGGTTTGGAACGACATGTTTGTTGTTGGGATAACGGTTGATTACTAACCTAGCTGCAACAGCACAGGAGTGACCAGCGCTGTTTCCATGGCGTAGCAGAACTCCCTCCCAAACATGACGGCACCGTGCATGACCCATAACCGCTTGGGGATGTGGTTTACAGAATCCTCACTGGCCGAGTCCTCTGACATCTCCACTTCCTTCTCCATGTTTTGCCCACCATTTGGATCCTTCTCTTGCATGACTGCCAGGTCCAGCACTGGAATGGACTCTGTGACAGCGTTCTTGGGTGCCATGCTGGCCTGCATATACGATGCTGGTGTGGGGTCCGGATCCAGATTCCTGTGGTACTTACCCCTCACAAGTACAGACTATTTTGCTTAAGACCTCCAAGTTGATCTTTCATAATCCACAGCAGTTTTCTTATTATAAAACACTAACCCGTAGTCAACAGAGAGGTCATGTTGTTCCATATATTTTAGTGAGAGGTCTACCAGCCGTTGTAATGAATACCAGTCAATATAGAGCTTTGTTGGTGTAATTCACAAGTCATGTTTTCTTGAAAGGAAGAGGGGGAAAGGGGGAGGGCATGGAGAGCAGAACAGGTGGATGTTCCTCTGTGTGCCTCCATGGAATTACTTATTAATCTAGATGAGAAGGAGAAAGAGAGAGTGAATGAGAGCGAGAGAGGGAAAGAGGGAGAGAGGGAGAGGGGGGTCTTGGCAATAAAACTGATATCCAGAAAGATCAAGGCAGTGGAAAAATGTTAGTGAAAAACAAGATGGGAACCAACCTGGCATTATGACAGTAAACATAGTTTTACCAAAAGCATGACATATTTGGCATATCTGTAATCCCTGGAGAAAGGCAGATGAAATAATAAAGTGACTAAAATAGGGAATAGGCACTGAAAAGATAGTAGAATGCTGATACTTATTCCTAATAGAACATTTTAAAGCCTTAAAGGGATTGTTCACCCAAAAATGAAAAATTCTGTCATCATTTACTCACCCTCAAGTTGTTCCAAACCTGTAACAATGTCTTTCTTCTGCTGAACACAAAAGAAGATATTCTGAAGAATATGGGTAACCAAACAGTTGATGGACCCCATTGGCTTTCAATGTATGGAAAAAACACACACAATGGAAGTCAATGGAGTCCCATAAACTGGTTACTGGCATTCTTCAAAGTATCTTCTCTTGTGTTCAGCAGAAGAAAGAAATTCATACAGGTGCTTAAGAACATTCATACATTTTTGGGAGAATCCTTTTAACTGAAAGTACAAAAACACCGATCTGCTTTTGCACATAACACAATTTATAGACTATTACACTTCATAAAATGATGCATCACAAATTATATAAAACCATACATATTTTTAAATGAATTTAAAATTTAAATTTCTTTTTTGGTGCCCCAAACCTCAGGTTTAATATTTTAAAGATTTTTTTTTAACAAAATAGCAATAACGATATTAATAGAAGAGATTAAGTGTAAAATAAACGTAATACGTGCCATTTTTTGGAGAATTTACCGATGATACCAGAAAGGTATTTATCCAAGCACAAGCTCTAAAACAATGTTTAAAAACGTTGTTACAGAGTAGGCTATAAACACATATGCAAAAAGAATATGTACTTTTAAGTTTATTTATAATACAGTCCAATGGTAAAGGCAGCAAGTGTGTAAAGTTCCAAAGGTCGTTTTAATTGAGTTAGCATTACACAATACTGCTTCACCAAGTTGCTGTAGAGCTATAAATTACATTAGCACGTGTAATAATGTGTAATAATCAAAAACATATCCTACCTCGTTCCTCAAGTAGCACGTGTTTCCTTTGATGCCCAAATCCCTTTAACCCAGAAATATTGTCTCAGATAAAGTGAAGAAAGGCATACACCAGAAGGGCTACAGAACAAACACGTACAGTGACAGAGCTAAAAAAAACAATATATCACTAGTTTTACTTGCTGACAAGACGAGACTCTCGTGATAACTGCCCCTCCCATGTGCACTGTACTGATTAGGCTACGCTACACCCAGACGCTTTTGGCAGGTAACATTCACCCCAGAGCAGCCCACTGACTGAACCCAGACCTGTTGTAACAAGAGTCAGGTGTGCGCATGGACACATGTGTATTTTATAAGAGGACGATGCATGACGACATGGTGGAGAGGTGCCTTGCGCTGAATCACGTGCAAACCTTTTAAGAAGACGCTTGTGATGGAGCTCAGATCATGCCTAAACTTGTACGGTTTCCTGTTTGTTATTGGAAATAAGCCTGGAAACCTAACATTAAATCCAGTCAATTTCAGTTAACAACGTGAGATAGGCTATCAATGTTAGACACATACACAACCTTGCTGTCTGAAATGCTACGCTACAAACATCCACCAGATCACCATAAATTCCCCGTTGCCTATGATTTTTTTCCTGGATTCAAAGGATTGCCAGATCATCCGACTGTTGCACACAATGATTTGTGTAGTGTTGTAGATGTTTTACTTTATACACACACTATGTAACCAACTTTATTTCAGGGTAAAGTGATCTGACTGGGAAAGAGCGAGCGAAGTTACAATTATTATGCATTTGGGATTTCGCTGAACTTTATATGAATCATCAGTCTGATTGATGCTTAACGTCTGTTAGCCCGGACTGCTAGCCTGCTAAATGAACTTGCTTCTAAAGTAAATTTAGAGGATACCTTCACTTTCCGAGCTCGACGAGCGGTTCGATTCATAAAATACATCTTCATTTATTGATAGAGAAAGAATCTCAGCATCCACACAAGTGAATGGAGTAAGATGTTTAAGAGAAAAAATGTACCTGCTCCTAGGTCGCGGATGTCTACTGCATCTTTTGTCTGCTCGAGGTTGCCAGTCGTTACACTAGGCAACAAATCCCCCTCGTCCGACTCAGCAATGATGTAATCTCGCTGATTGCTGTCAAAATCTGTGAACTAAAAGCAGTCATATCATTCATTAATCATTACTATGTTATGCCATTCCGATTTAATAATGTCATAAACACACAACTGATGTATCTTAAAGTGGTACTATTTGATAATAAAATAGGCCTACTATAATTATGCAACAAAATAAGGCAGGTTGACAACCTTAATTTGACAGATTAGATAGGCTTGTGTTATTCTACTAAATAGGCTACGGCAACCAGTCCAGCCTGAATTGCTTAAAAAACTCTATTCAAGTATTGATTTAGAATTTGATCCTTTTTTTCTTCTGGACTTCAGGTCTGTGTTTAAAGGAGAACTCCGGCGCAAAATGAACCTTTGGTCTAATTACACATTGTTACCTAGTCAACCGTTATCTGAGATTTGTTTTCATGATTATCGAATGTAAATAGTTTTATCTCTAAAAACAGTTTAGCCTATAACGCTAGTATAACGCTAGTATATTGGGCATAGAGTAATGACAAACAAAAATCGCTTGTTAATACCACTAACAAGGCTCAAAATCCAAGCCTACTAGAGTTGTGACGTTCGCGAACGAACCGATTCTTTTGAACGGCTCATAAACATGAACGATGGGAGCCGAGTCGCGGCTGGAGGGGAGCCGTTCTTTCTGTCGTTCTTTTTTTCCTATGCGTGTTTCACACAGATGCACACAAATTAGCTCCTCAGTTATAGGGGAAGGGGCGCACCCAGCGCAGGGGTGCTACTGCCTAAAAGCATGATGATAGTTGTGCACCCACGCGCATCCTTTGCTCCAGTGGAAAAAAACCCCTACGTGCCTCTGTCATTGGGTAGGAGCGGAGCCAATGACTTGTGCACGCTGGCGTCACATGGTTACTCCAGTTAAAAAAAACACTAAAAAAAAACACGTTCATGTTGATGTTATTGTATCTACAGTATATATTTACAACTTTAAATATTTTTTGTTTTTTTATCAAAATGTTCTTGTGTGATAACAATGTTCTTGTGTGGAAGTGTTAGTGTTTGTAGTAAAAGCTGTTTTGCACAGACATTCATTGCAGCCGGCTTTGTTTTTTATGTTTATTTGTGAGTAGGTATTGTATGAATAACATAAGTCAACATAGCTTTACACATACACACACTTTGTACTAAAGGTAAATCCAAAATAGTGATGTCACTTTCTAAGCAGAGGGATGTTGTGCAACCCTATGGAATATAGTCCACACATGACAAATGAGGTAATAATCAATATTTCAGAATAATTCAAACTCTGATATTGGTGTGTGATATCTGAGTTTTAATTATTTGACTACAAATCTCACCTCATCATTCCTTCCAGTGATTATTTCCAGGATAAACTGAGATGCCCCCAAGCTGGCTTCTTAAAACTGACTAAATATTTAAAAAGAGCCAAAAGAGCCGTTCTTTTGAACGGCTCTTTGAAAGGAACGGATCGCCAAGATCCGGATCCCCTCAAAGAGCCATAAATCCCATCACTAAAGCCTACTGTTCGCGCTCACCTTATCACAACTTAGTTCCCACAGGCCAATTAATGTCACGTGACCTCCCCGGAGACGCCATCTTTGAGGGCATAAGCTGCTCTGTTTACAAAGTTTTACAAGCAAATTTCGAATATTTCTTTCGGTTTATAATGTTACGAAAATCATGAAGAGACAAAGTGGCAGAGATTATAAAGAGACTCTATTAACACCAGACAGAGAGAGGTACAATGCGAAAATTTCAGTCATAAATGGTGTGGAGGAAGCACCGAGCACTGATTATGCAGCTTTGCCTGATAAAGTATTATCATGTGTAACTTTACCATTATCTGGTATTTTATACACATGTGAGCAATTCCAAGCCTGGAAATCACTGGAGGCGTACAATCAGTTTGTCGAGGGTTGGGTTGTTTGCTCAAGTGCAATCAATGGAAAAGTAGTCATCATAGCGAATGTATGCAACTTAGCGTGATGCTACTATCTGTCTATTAAAAAGCCATAGCCTTCACAACTTAATTCCTGTTCCCCTTATAACAGTCATCGGTGCTTTCTGTAATATGCATGTACTTATTTGTACACTGAAGAATAGGGTTGGAACGGTAAGTTACATGTATTCGTATTGAACCGAAACTGTACAGGCGTTACGGTTCAGTGCATGAATATACGTTACACGGTATAAAAATAAATAAAACTCGCGTGCAAATTAATTAATGTAATGCGGAACTACTTTATACGCGGGTTCTTTAGGGACATAATCTGAGATTGCAATGCTGGAGTGTGTGTGTGTGTGTGTGTGTGTGTGTGTGAGTGAGTGAGTGAGAGAGTCGCGCGCGCGATCGAACAGTGGAAACTGCTGTTTTTAATACCTAACCTCGTCATTATGTTAATACAGGACATCATTCAAACTGCAAAGTGTTAACTTGTTTATTCTCCTCGCCAGCCATAACCTCCGTCGTTGTTCTGACAAAAGCTTAGTCTTCTCACATTCATGAAGTCTAAAGACGGGTATACTGTAAAATCCAAATTTAACTGAACCTCCGGCACGATTTGAACATCCATTGACCCAGCAGGAGATGACCATTTTCAGTTTTTATCATGAAATTAACTCATTTCAGCTTCTTCTAATATTCTGCCCGAAACATGCCCACAGAAATGGCGCCGGGTCGGCAAATTCCCGTATGTTGTGACGTCATGTGGGAACTATGTATAGCTCGTTCACATCTCACCAGCGCACTTGGATCGGCGTTCGTAGATCAACTGGTAGAGACTGTATTTCAAAGATGGCTTCTGCCTGTATACGCGAAGTTGACTGTATGTATAAAATATCTTCTTATTAAACTGTCTGGACACTGACAAAGTTCTCAATGCTTCGATTTGAAGGTAGGGACCCTCATTATGCTACCGTGTTAGTGTGGGGCTATTTTGAGCCTTGTTAGTGGTATTAACAAGCGATTTTTATTTTTCATTACTCTATGCCCAATATACTAGTGTTATACTAGCGTTATATAGGCTAAACTGTTTTTAGAGATAAAACTATTTACATTCGATAATCATGAAAACAAATCTCAGATAACGGTTGACTAACAATGTGTAATAAGACCAAAGGTTCATTTTGCGCCGGAGTTCTCCTTTAACATTATGTGAACGAATAGTTTAACAGGAATCAGCGCCAGCGGTGAGAAGAAGGTACGCAGGTGAATGTTTATTTTACACTTCACCAAAACCACACTACAAAAGAATCGTGTAAAGCAGTAAACCTTGTGATTATTAGGCTACTTGTTACATTAGAACAAAATTAATAAATTTGAGAACATAGCCTATACAACTAAATTAACGATAACTTACATATTTTCTAATTTCATTAAACATTTTCATTTAGTTTCGAGAACATTTTTTATAAAACATGGACCATAATTAAAAGGGCTTATGTCTGCTATTGTAGGCTCATTTAACTAGCTACTAGAGACGCACAAGCTACATTTAAGCTACCCCCCCCTGCTGCTAAGCATCAAATCTAGTTATTATTTGAGTTTTTTTTTACAGAAGTTCTGAAAAGGATTTTATGACACAAAACATTTTTTTTACATTAATGTATTTATTATGTATATATTTTCAATCTGGGGACCCAGAGGGGGCCACAGTGTGGGGTCCATGGAAAATTTAGTAAAAAAACTAAATTAAAAAATGTTTCTCTGCAGGTATACACTACAGTTCAAAAGATTTGGGTCAGTTTTAAAGAAATTAATAGTTTTATTCAACCCATTAATTTGACCAAAAGTTCTAAATTCAAAAATTATATTTCAAATAAACGCTGTTCTTCTGAACTTTCTATTAATTAAAGAATCCTGAAAAAAGTATCACAGTTTCCAAAAAATATTAATCAACTGTTTTCAACATTGATAACAATAATTTAAGTTATGCACCAAATCAGCATATTGGAATGATTTCTGAAGGATCGTGTGATACTCAAGATGTAATGATGCTGAAAATTCAGCTTTGCCATCACAAGAATAAACTACATTTGAAAATATATCAAAACAGAAAACAGTTATTTTAAATTGTAATAATATTTCACAATATTTTATTGTTTTTGATCAAATCAAGAGACTTATTTTAAAAGCAATAACAAAAACGTATCGACCCTAAACCTTTGAACGATAGTACACTCTAATAGTGGTCATAAAAAAAGATACAGTAGACATAAATACAATATTTTCTAGATAAAGTTTTAATAATTTGTCTTGGCTTCAGTACAGTAACAATATGATAGCCAATAATATAAACCTTCATGTGTCTTCATACGCACGTTGCATACAGATGTATACATACAGTATACGTCTGCCTTTCAAGGGGTCCCTTGCAAGTCCCTCCATCATATACAAGTTTAAAAATGCTGTGGCGTATTATGTTGGCATTGCTGCAGTTGTTGTAGTTACAAACAATGTCACATATGAAATGAAATGCAAGCTCATAAAAGCTCATACATTACGTATTTACAGTACACAGAAAAACAAAGTCTCATTTATGCCTGTGGTTTTGCTTTAGTATATGACATGATAATTGCAACCATCTGAATACTGTACAGGACACATGTACGCTCCCTTATGCGGGTCGGCTTCCCTGCTGGACAGGGCTCATGTTTATCCTTATACCTTTATCTATAGTATTCACTGTGCCTGAAGCCTTTGAGCTCTTCTGCATGCTGATAATATCTCCACTCGTCTGCTCTCTTTCTATCTTCCTCAAAAATCTCTTCATGGTAGACTGAAAGTTGGTGGTGACGAAACAGTAGACCACAGGATCCAGGCAGCTGTTTAAGCTGCTGAGGGTGACGGTCACATGGTACACAATCACATGATGAGGCAGATCAGGATGGAAGTAAAACAGAACTTGACGGATGTGAAACGGTGTGAAGCAGACGGTGAAGATCACCAGCACGGTCGACAGCAGCTGTACGGCTTTCGTGCGTCTGTCGCGGCTCTGCTGCATCAGACCCGGGCTGGAAAGGGCGCACATGATTCGAATGGTAAACACTACGATGATCACCATTGGGAGGAAGAACTCGAATACGGTCAGCGCGAAAAGTCTGGAGAGGCAGCAGCCTGAGAGCTTGAAGGCCGTGGTGAGAAGCGAGTAGGTCACGATGATGGCGAACAGCCATATGCAGACGCACACTGCTTTGGCCACTCCAGGGTTCCTCCACTTCCGCGAGGCCTCAGCCTGAACGATGGCTAGGTAGCGATCCACGCAGATGCTGGTGAGGAAGAGGATGCTACAGTACATGTTGACGAAGTAGCTGAATATGTGCATGTAGGAACAGTTGAGGCACTTTCCTCCACTGTAGTACAATATGATACGAGTGGGGAGGGAAAGGTTAACCAACAAATCCGTCACAACCAGGTTAATGGTGTAGATGACTGATGTAGTCTTCGGCTTGGTCCTGATGCAGAAGACATACAAAGCCAGACTGTTTAGGGTCATCCCTACCATAAAGATAAGTGTGTTGATGACCACCAGGGCTATCCACAGGCTGTAAAAGTCATTATAGAGACCCTCATCCAAGTGGGCCAGTCTGTGTAAATAAGGTTCACGGTATGGTGGAGAAGTATTGGTTGTTAGGGGAGGAGTCGATGTTAATGTGAGGTTCAGATTCGATGAAACCTCTGTAAGGGTCATCTTTGTGGTTTGGGGGCTGGATCTGCCCAAAAAAACACAAAGAGAAAGGAAAAATTGCAATTACAAAAGATGCAATTTTGAAGATTTGCAATTTTTTAAAGCCATTTATTTGTAGATTCAAAGAAAAATGGTAGAATGGTAGTTTTTGACTAATTGAGTTTAAGAAAATTTGCTAAAACTTTATAATAACTCTTATCAATAAATCGTTCACAAACATAACATAATGATTAATGGATTATTCCCGCCCGGCCAAAAAAAAAAAAGAGTCGCTGTTTGGATTTAAATAGGCTAATGGTTGCAGGGACTATTATGTTTCTATGGTATATGTTTGGCAACAGCTATTCTAACCCTAATTCATGGAGTGTGTAGCTTTTCATTGTTTAAACAACCATGTAGGAAGACACATAATGGCCATATTCCAGGAAAACAATGTAAAAATTGATCAGGCTCAAACTGTGAAAGAATGCTTTGGGAGGGAGCATGAAGAATCATTTTCACACATGAATTGGCATCTCAGAGTCCAGACCTTAAATTCATTGAAAGTTTTGGGATGTGCTGGAGTAGACTATACAGTGGTGCTTGGCTCTTCCATTGTCAATACAAGATCTTGGCCAAAAATGTATGCACCTCTTGATGGAATAAACATAACAACATTTATTTCCATCAAGAGGTGCATCAACTTTCGAATGATCAGGCAACATATTATATTATATTATATTATATTATATTATATTATATTATATTATGTTATATTATGTTATATTATATTATATTATATTATATTATATTATATTATATTATATTATATTATATTATATTATATCACAGACCCTTGAGGGACACCCTGCTGTACCAATGTTGGTTCGCATTTATTTTCCCCCAAACATGCTGGAAATGATCAGTGAGATAGGATTTAAACCAATCAAACACAACAACAGAGATGTCTAACCACCCACACATCCTTTCAGCACAAGTGAGAAGCGGTCGCAGTGCAGATAATAAATAATTAAAAATGTATAAATAAAGAAACAAATGAAATAAACAGAAGTTGAGGTACAGCGCAAAATGTATGTAGTAAAATGTAAGTAAATAAAAAATAAATGTTTTTTATCAATAATAAGACTGTAAGATTGTAACTTTTTAGGACTACAAACTAATTCAGTGCTCAGATGGGTATTTAGTTTTTTTAAAAGTTAGTTAATTTATATCTTTTAAAATAACTAGTCATTCTTGCATGTACCAGCTAATTTAGTAAACATTTATAGTTGCAAACTGTCTGCTGTATATATACATATACTCTTGCAGTAGACCGTATGCTATATAATATAGTTGGCTATTTCAAACATACTGTCAGTTTCTTTGGTCATGTTTTGGTATGTAAGGACATAAAAATAATTGACAGTTTTAAGACTGCGTGTGTCTACATCTCAAACCCATGTCACATGGTACAATGTGGCATAATGGAAAATTGCCTGCAAAAACAAATATGCTCTCCTTCCATCGCAGGAAGAATGAGCCTGATAAACAAACAGCCTGGAGGCCTCTGACGAAGAGGTGCCTACGGTCTGGCATAGTTCAGATGGTGTTCAGAATGAGATGTGTTTACAATTAAGGCTAATGGGAAGGATTTGTTTGGAGACTGAGATTCGTGGGAATAGACGTCTATCCCACTATTACGCAAATGAATTCTGAGCAGCATCTAACAGCATCAGACTATTTTGCATGTTTATTTACTTGGGCCTCTGCTCAATTTACATCTTAATTGAAAAGACAGAACAATATACAATTCTTATTGACCAAAATAATGTTGTTTAGATATCAGAGACTAAACTCCACAGAATGAATTTAAATATTTGAACAACGTCAAGCACTGTTGCATAATTAAAATTAAGCTACTCTCCTCTAAAATTGACAACTTCTGACTTTTTTCTTTAAAACACTGATTTTATGTTAGTTTCACACTGACAGTAAAACATACCTGAAAGTATAAAAAAGGCCATCAACTGTTTATGAGAGAGGTGGTGACCTAGAAAGTATAGCTAATCGTCATCGAAAAGCAGACTCTCAGATATAAAGAGGGAATGCCATTCTCCAAGACAACAACAAAACTAATGGCCCTCTCTGAGAGACATGGATGCATTAATGCTGTCCAAATAAATATCTCTGTATGAGCCGCCGTCAGAGCTTTTGATGTAGGCTGGTTGTTTTTGGCTTGAGGATGATCCCTCGTTGTAGCAAAATACTGCTTCGGCACATTCAATTGTGACGAAAGAACATGTACAAGTTTTGGGAAAATTTGGGGGAAATCCATAAAATACCCGCACATTAATAGAAAATAGAAAATATTTATTATTTATATATTAACAAAATTTTACCACCAGTCTCAAACAAAGTGACTATATAATATAATAAATCTAAATAAAAACTTTTTTATCTTATATAAACTGCACTGTAGCTAAACTGTCTCCATACTACACATTTACAATATTTCTTATTATGCCTCTTGATATTTTTGCACATTTCTTAGCCCATTTATACCTCTTGATGCCACTTTCACTGTTATGGTCACTACCTCAATCTGTATAATGCGCCTTCTGTGTTTATACTTTTCATTTGGACCTTGTATTAGATTCAGACAATTGCATTGAGCTGGTCTCTGCTTCTGTACCTCATAACTTTGCACTTCAAAAACCATCTTTATTGTATATATATTTACATTTATATACATTTTGCTATTTGCACTTCTGGTTAGATGCTAACTAACTTTAATTGTCTAAATAATCATATTTTTAAATATAGATTAAAAAAAAAATCAAGATTGGCATTGCAAACAATGGCATGGCATGAAAATGTATCAATAAAAGCACAACAAAAATTTGCATCATTGCATAGTAATCACACACAACACAAAGTAATTGCTTACCTGCACATATAGAAGGATGAGAAGTTGATCTGGAGTGTGAAACAGAAATGTTGTAATGAAGGCCACAGAACAGACACTCAAATTAGACCATAAAAGACCCCCTGAAACTCTTAAAGAACCTTAAATGATGAAAACCAAATCCCTTGTGCTATAAACATGTTGAACTTCTTCACCTTGAAGGGGCAAAAAGGAGAACATCTCTCCACCTCGTCTGTGCTGCATGTCTCTTTTTCTGTCCCTCTCTGTTTCACTCCTGTTCTTTCTTTCCCTCCCTTCATCCTCTGGCTCACAGGAAGTTCGAGTTAGTTTGGATAAACCCTGACATTACAAACAGAGGATTCTGGGATATGATACTCTTCATTGTGATTGCTTGGTTTACTGAAATAAAATTCAACATACATTAAATACAATGTTACAATTATTTGAATGAATATGTAGTCCTAAATTTTACAGTAGCACTGGGGCTGGAAAAACAATAAATACTGCATATAATGCAAAGTTCTAAGTTGATAAACTTGATAAAATGTCATAAACTGCATAAGTCCTATAAAAGTTTTTTTAAGGTGTCAGAATGGCAGCAAGATAGCTAAAATAAAAGAACAGGATGTATTAATACTGCTGGACATGTCGACACTTTTTCCACATTTCCTGTCTGGAAACACATCCATCACCATCTGCCAGGTTTCTGTCCTGATGTTTCCGAAATTTCTCCAACTAAAGATATGAAGTCTGTAAGCTAAGTTCAAATGTGACTGAGAGTGAGTTTAAATAATTGGAACTGTGTGCTGTCCTTTGTCTCAACATTGTTTAACAGCATTGGAAGCATGTGAATCATATTTGTATGTGGCATTTACAATATGCCTGTAAACTTTTGAAAGTCACACACGTTATTCACAATGATTCTGAGCCCTGGTGGTACTGAATAAGTGTTCAAAAAATCAAATAATAACTCTAAAAAAGGCAAGTTCTCACTAAGGTTTCGAGAAAAAAGGGCAATTACACAAACACCTAATTCGAAATTTAAATCATTAATTTTTGGGAATTCTGTACTTTGTATTTTTCATAAATATCATGATGGGGCAAGTTGTCAGATGTTTTAAATGTTACAAATGTACACTAATGAGGAAAATGTCTCTGGTTTATATAACCTGGTTTCCTGAGAATGGGAACGAGACACAGCGTGCCTGTGAGTCACATGTAGTACACGGCAAATCATTGGCATAGGATGAAGTCAGGTGATGCAATGAAGTACGTAATCAATCTATTACGTACAATCTCTGCACCTTGTTACGTTCCTGGCATTTTAAAAACGCGGTGCTCCCATTGAAAAAAATTGGAAAAAATACGATAGCCACTAGAAAAAACGCTTTGGTGGAGACACAGCCTAAGGGTTCAATAGGAGTAACTGACAACCCTTTTAATACAATTGAGAGATCTCTTGAAAGAACCCACGGTCTGCAGATAGACGCCAACCGTCTGGCACCGCGCAAGAAACAGGACACCGCGGGACAAGAAACAAGCCCCTTAAAGGTAGCGGGGGTAAGTCTAGCTGAATGATGCTCTTGAAGTAACTCCAGTACAGAACCAACCGGGCAGTCAGCTGGTTTAAAGATGAGCATACAGCTTTCTAGTAGAAGGAGTACTAGCGTTGAGAATGATATCAATGACTTTGGTTAAGAGACCAGAATCTATGAGCCAGTACCCCTCAGGGGCCAGACCCACAGCTTCAAAATCTCTGGTTGGGGGTGAAATGTTGTCCCATGAGCCTGGGACAGAAGGTCCCTCCTGGTCAAAATCTCCAGGGAGAGCCTTCCATGGGAGATACCAGGTCCACAAACAGTACTTGGGCCGGCCAAAATGGAGCTACTAATTTTAGTCGCAG